GTATTCAATAATACGTGAGCACACACGCCCTCCGATGAGATTCGGAACGGATCGGCGGCTAAATATCCCGCCGATTGGTTCCACGGAATGAATCGGCGGGTACATATCCAGGCGATCGGTTCCGGAGGAACCGATCGCCTGCACGGTTCCGGAGGAACCGATCGCCTGCACGGAACAAATCGCCTATGACACCGGCGTATTTTTTATCTACACGCTATAGCGAGGGGGATTTCTCGATTAATTCCAATGAAACCGCTTAAAGAGAAAGTTGAGTTCTGGGAAGAGGTGAAAAATAATTTGTGAGCATTACTCATTCTTATTATGCAAGTGTGGAAGAACATCAGTTAAGACATGTTCCCTGAAAAGCATGGCTCTTCAAATGCCTTCATATTCTAAATATGCATGTAACATCGTAAAAATCGGGGGCCGGCTTTTTACGCCTCGTGTTCGTGTAGTCCCATATACATCTTTCTGTGCAAGTGTTGGTAACTTTACCAAGACTTGGCCACATTTCTTATCATTTTGATGATTCCAGAACCTTGCATTACACACAAATTCTAATATGCTAGATGATCAACCTTTTCTGGTCGGTTCCACACCGTTTCTTTCACAATGCAATCGCATGACCAGAACTCAACTTCATCTTTAATTCCAATGAAACCGCTCGCGAAGAGTCTAGCCTGGATCGGAGAGCTCGCAGTGCTATACGCTAGTGTGAATTTACATCCAGGAGAAAGTTTGCTTTACTTTTTCTTGAAACGCTTGAACGGTTATGGAAACTGTTGGTGTTTCTAATCTTCAAATATTAATATTATTCTGCATCAAATATAATACATTGAAATCTACTGTGGTATGTAAAGGCACGAACTTACGTTTATACATAAACATATTTTTTTTTTAACCAAGAAGGTGCACCATGGTAATACATTAAAACAAAATACATCAACATATTACCTAAACAACTCATCACCATAGCCATTGTAAAACCATATATTAAAGGTAATACACAGTTTTGGTATGGGGTCATGAATTTGGTCACAGTTAAATGAACAAATTTGAAGCATATGCGATCCTACAATATTCAGTGATCGTTGTCACGGTTGATATCGAGTCTGAAGTGATGAAATTGTAAATAATACACTCTTTATGTTGTATAGCTCCCTCTCAAGGTCAAGATATTAATTAAGTTATAAAACAATGTTTCTCGACTAATATCGACCGATTAGCTATTACCGTTTGGAAATTATATATCACAACTACATATTCTGAGATTGTCATGGTCGCAGCTACCATCGTACGGCCGTAGGCGCTATTTGAAATTTATGAAAATTTACCGGGAGCACCGGTAAATTTTATATTCAATATTTCTCGAAAGCCGAAGTGTTTTAGGGGCTGAATTTTCTAGTGATTATAATGCATCCACATGAGCATCCAAATATATCAAAATTGTAAAGAATCACTTCCAGCCAATTTTCAAAATTCCCAAAACTTTGTATTACCTTTAATGATACATGTAAAATATAGATTGAAGCGATTCTCGTCAATAGGCTGTATCCTGAGTGTGATTTATATAATGGATTTTGAGTAACATTTGCATCTACCTGTAGTTGAAGAACTAGTGTATAACATCAATTAAGTTGGAGTTCAATTGGAAGGAAGTAACGAGGAATATTAAAGCAAGGGAGACTGGGAGATGAGGAAAGCAAGAAGTTAGAAATTGAGAGATGACTCGCGAGATAGCCTTGCATTAATGAATCCTTTATATAATGTTGTCTTAAGAGAAAGTAGACGATTGTTTTAAAATTGGAGATTAGTGCAAGTATTAGAAATGTGGGAAATAGAATTAATGAGAAAGTTATTTTTTTTTATCGAGATCAATACATAGGGGGGGGGGGGCACCATCAAAATAGGGCACTTTCTGGAATATAAGGTGCACCTACAAAGGGAAACATCAAAATGTAAATCTACCATATTTAGACATTGATAGACGTACGCGTAACGCATGTCACACACAGAAAAATTAGAAGAAAAGAGAGAATAATGTTATTTAAAAAAAAGAAGATAGAGGAAAAGGAGAGAGACAGAGAGAGGGAGAGAGAGAAAGAGAGAGAGAGAGAGAGAGAAAAAAAAAAAGGAAGAACATGAAACTTAACTTTACACTTAGGCCTACAGATTACATTTCCGACTGAGTTGGCTCGACATGACAGTGCTTAAGAAGTCTGCGGACGAAAGTACAACAATACGAAAACAGAAGTTATATGAAATTGTCTTTAAGAGAGAAAGAGAGGTTATTTCTAAAATGAAATGAAAGGGGCTATGTGACTCTCAAGGAGAAAATTACAATTTCTATCGCTCATGACGACTATTTTGAATTTCCTAATATTTTTTAAAGTTCAAGAACTTCCTGGGGCTCTGCCCCATGCAAGACTCCCGGCATCAACAAATTTGTTACACAATTTCTTGCTGTCGGCTGCCTCGAGATCACTGGAGCGAAGAAAGGTAACATAATTATAGCAAGAATCCCTATTCAGTGAAGGATTTATCCCTTTTATTATTAAAGACTCCCGGCAAAGGCTCTCCCCTGCAAAATTGGAGAGAGTTTTACGTAGTTTAAGCTTCTAACAACCACGCCCGTGGACCTTTTATTATTTACACAAAGGTAAAGTGTATAGCAAGAATCCCTATTCAGTGAAGGATTCATCCTTTTTATGCAGATGCTTCTTCTACCATTCTTGACCAGAAGTGCGTTTCAAACTCAATGATGTGGGCATCATCCCATTGAATGTTGTGTCCAGTGTTAAGGGTTTGTTTTGCTACTTGCTGCCTAATCTGAGGGCTCTGTTGTGCTCTTTAAAAAGAGGACACAATAGGGGCAGCGCAATTTAAATATCAAGGGATGTATTAGACTTTATTTCTAAAATGAAATAAAAGGGCTATTTGACTTTCAAGAGCGATAAAAACTCTAATCCATCCCTTGAAATTTAAATTGCACTGCCCCCATTCAGTGTGCTATTTTCAAAGAGCACAAAAAGGCTTCAGATTGAAGATTCCATCTCATAAATTTGTCTATAAGAGAGAAAGAGAGTTTATTTCGAGAGAAAAAATGAAATGAAAGGGCTATTTGACAAGAGCCCTTTCATTTCATTTTAGAAATAACCTCTTTTTCTCTCCTAAAGACAATTTCTCTCTTGAAAAGGCTCTGCCAGGCCAAGCTCTGCCATGTTGTATGCGTACGCGCCTGCATGTACATCTCTTCCTCCTTATTCCCTTATCCATCGTTACCGTCACTACCATTTGAGTAGGGCCGGCCCCCACTTCAATAACGGTTCCCAAGCCATCCAGAATGACCCCAGAATTTATAGATGACCATTCTGCCGTTCTTTGGAGGGGCCGGGCGCGGCCTTTTCAGAAGTGTTTCTACACTAACCTACGGCTTAACATAAACAAGCATGCTAAGATTTTTTGAAAATAAGCATAATTCCGACTCGCATAACCTAAAAATAAGAATACGGCCAGTCACCCCTCCCCTCAATGCAGCCGCCTTCACGCACCCCCTTCCCCTTGTCTTTCCCTTATTCGTCGTTACTGTCACTAATTTTAAGTGCCATTTCGTTGTCTTTCTTTCTCCCCGGCTCCTCTCTTTTTTTTCTTTCCTCTTTTTTTGGAACTCTCTCTCTTTTCTTTTCTTTTCTTTTATCTTCTCCTTTTTTTCCCTCAATCTTTTCTTCTTTAATTTCTTTCGGCTCTTTTTTCCTTCTCAATTTTGTTTTGCGCCGTCAATAGGGGGGGGGGGGGCGTTTCGGCCGTTTCGGCCCATCCCTGGATCCGCACTGATAAAAGATATTAAAAACAATTTATGATCGAAAACAAGTCCATTTCCCAAACTATGAAAGGTTATAATCATGAATGCGTTGATATACATTAATCTTGAACTATCCCCCTCTCTCCCATCTCCTCCAACATTCTGTTTCTTGTGTGTTCTCTCTATAATCAATACGCATGACTGGACGATTTTCCCCTTTTTTTTGGGGGGGGGGGGGGGGTTGGAGCTGGGCAAAAAGGAACGACACTAAGCAAGTATTGATTTGAATACGTTCCCACTGTGATTGTATTTCGATAAACCTTACAGGCTTACACCATACAGGCTGATCGGGCGGGTGCGAGTGAGGGGTGATATATTGGCCGCTCTAGGGAGGGCTGAAAGGATTTACGCGGGAAAACGATTTGGAGGGGGGGGGGGGGCTAGCTCTCCGGGATTCCTGAAATCAAATTCCTGAGGGAGACAAAATGACCCCCATCCCCCTGAGACAAACCTTAATCCGCCACATTGTTACAGGATGTTATGTTGAAAATGTACCTCGTATATTAAAAAAAATAACAGTGCACATCAATCCCTTTAATCCTATATCCTAACTCTGTTTATATCCCCACACTTTAGTAGTTTTTTTCTTTGAGTTTTACACTCTACCTTTTCTCTCGGGTGGTCACTATTCTTTATACCTATACCCCATCACAAGGACTTTTTTCAACAACTCGAATGCGCGTATGCATGTATGTATTATCAATTTATATTACTCCCCATGACCAAAATCACAAGTTCAGTTAAATTGTTTTTTGACAGAATAGATTTTTGTATAAACTACCGTTTTACGAGAAAAAATCCATTTAAAGTCAAACGTGTGCATTTGTAAAATTATAATTAATTACTAATAATTTTTGTTATAGATGAAACGCATCATTCTCATCAGCAAAGGTTGAAGTTATGCAACATAGCTGATATTCTACTAAAATCCAAGCCCGGAGCTTGGCTTATTAATTAGCTTTTGTTCATAAAACGGGTCACACAAAAAAAGTTCTGAGGTTTAATTTGTCTTTTTGTGAATACGTGATCTCCGACCCAGGATCGCTTTAAACTGAATTATTACATCATGGATCAATTTTTTTTTAAATGAATATTTAACAAAAATTGTAAATAAATCAATCTGAATCTGAATCCGCAGTTGATGAAGCAGATCCAGAAAGTGATGATGGTGCTGGACAGTCGTCGAAAGATGCTCGACTACGACATCAAGTACGTGGACCTCGCGATGTACCCTTCGAGTCGAGAGAAGATGAGAGAAATATCCGGCGATCCCAAGGCCTTACCACCCTGCATCGCTAACGGCGACGAATACTGCGGGGTAAGACCAAAATCATTATTACCAAGCAGGGGGCATCACCCGGGCGCGGATCCATAGGGGGGAGGCGGCGGGCCTGGCCCCCTCCCCTAGCATAAAATAAAATAAAATAAGTGCTCTTACCCCTCCCCCCGCTTATTCACCGGCTGGCTGAGCCTCCGCTAATATTACCTCACAAATTGGACACCCAAAAAAGTGCTCTTACCCCCCCCCCCCCCCCCCCCCCCCCCCCCCCCCCCCCCCCCTTACCCCGCTTATTCACCGGCTAGCTAAATATGAACTCATAAATTGGACCCCCCCCCCCCCCCCAAAAAAAAAAAAAAAAAAAAAAAAAAAAAAAGTGCTCATACTTATTCGGTTATAAAATAAATTTAACAGTAAATAATGAAGCAAAATGATTAAGCGACGCTCTTGATCAACTAAAAAGAGGCGATGTTAGTTAGGACTTGAAGTTGAGTTTGCAACAAAATCTTTATTTTAAAGGTAAAACAAAGTTTTGGTATTGGGTCAGGAATTTGGTTCAAATGAACATATTGGAAGCATATGCGATCCTACAATTTTAAGTGATCGTTGTCGCGGTTGAAATCGATTCTAAAGTTATAAAATTGTAAATAATATACTCTTTAAGTTGTATAGCTCCCTCTCAAGGTCGATATATTAATTAAGCCATATAACAATGTTTCTTGACTAAAATCGACCGATTGACTATTCCCGTTTGGAAATTATATATCACAACTACATATTCTGAGATTTTCATGGTTGCAGCTTCCATAGTATGGCTGTAAGTGCTATTTGAAATTCATCAAAATTTACCGGGAGCACCGGTAAATTTTTATATAAGTGTTTTAGGGGCTAAATTTTCTAGTGCTTGTAATACTTCCACAGGGGCATCCAAATATATCAAAATTGTAAGGAATCACTATCCAGTCAATTTTCAAAATTTCCTAAAACTTTGTATTACCTTTAACTTTGATTCCGTTACCTGGGATCGATGCGATCTTATAGGCAGACTCATATTCCGTCTTCAAGTTGGTTTCACTAGAAGCGGAAAAATTGAGAGAAGAAGATTAGTGAAAGATTGAGGGAAATCGGATGAAAATAGGAAAATTAAAAAAAAAAGTTGTAATCTATCAAATGGAAAATGGCAACGGAAACGTACCTTTCAAGGGTTTATTGTCATTTGGCCCAAATCCATTTGCAAATGCTAAGTAGGCCAAATTGTTTTTGGACGAAAGCCTTAATTCACAAATTGGTCATGAAATGATTATTGGAAAAATCGATCATTGGACCAATGGAAATGTTAATGGACGAAATGATGTTAGACCGAATGATGTTAGACCTTAACGATTAAACCAAATGGCAATTTATCCCTTGGAGGACCTCTCCCAAACTTATGTTCCGTACTAATATATTAATATAAAGTTTAATTATCTTTAAAGAAAATAGTTGATTTGTATGTAAACACTTTATTATCATCGCACATTATTGTTCTACTTAAATCTCTTAAAGGCATCGTTTAATGTCTTGTCACCTCCCTGGTTTCACAATGTTAAATCTAAGATGCACAGGCCTACGTGTTATCAGTGTCTGTGGTGTGATGTATAATTGAAGCCCTAAAAAATAAAAATCGCGCTTCAAAATGATCAAGAAGTGCCTCAAAAAAAGTAAAAAGCTTTGAGTGACCGGTTTTACCATACTCGTTTTCCCTAATAGACTGTAGTGTTATGAAAACCGTTAGGAAAACGCAAAATTTGGTTTCGATTTCTATTCATTAATATATTGATAATCAGACAGGCGATCGGCTTGTAAAAGTCATGGGGTTCCTGACTGACCTAAAGGTTTATAATTATCATTGTAGCATGAGCTAAATCCAGGATTTTGTTTCAGCATCTGAGACAAAGTTACCGGATCCCTTTAATGAAGAAGGGCTGATTAACAACCAAGAAAATTGAAATTTATGAAAATTAAAGTACAAAAGAATTGGATGAGAATCAGATGCTTGACCGGTTCGCCAATATGTTGCCAATCTGTGTTCGATTGACTGCAATTACACAAATTTCGTATCTTTTATCTGATTTCCCCAAACTCGCACTGTAGTGTTTCTCTTATTTTGTGTTTGATCTGCTCCTACTGAAAATAATTAAAGGTAGTTAATGAATGAAGGAATGTTGTATGAAGAGACAAGGTCTTTATAGCCAGAGCCATACCATTCTAATCAATGGCACTGCATGGTCTTAGCCGGTAGATGGCGCCATTATTCTTGTGAATTGACTTACAGGCAATTATTGTATGGGTTCCTTCTCGAAGTCTTATAATTAAGTTGTTGACAAACAGTTATTTTCAAAACATATTGTATTTGCCCATTTTCTGATTTACGGTGTTATAATTATGACGCTTATTGATTTACCGGTTCGGTTATTCATTAACGAAAACAAATATGAAAAGAAGAGTAATGTCTGCAAAACTAGTCGTCTTGTAATTCACCAAATACTGGCACTGATATCATGATTTTTTTCAATAAAGCGTGGGGCTGAGGCGTCCTTTCCCGCCATACTCTACAGATTCATTTACCGATGTTTTATTCCGTTATCTTCTCTTTTCGTTTCTTTCCCGCTCCTTTCTTTTTCCCTAAACTCCTGTAATTAAGCGACCCGTAGTTTTTTTTAATTTTATGAGATATTAATATATAAAATGCCTTTCCAGTATAAAGGGCAACGACATGATTTTACCGAAAGCCTTTAATTCAAACGCGAAAACTTCATGAGTGTTGAAAATATTCATTAACTCGTTGGTCATGACGAGGGATATTCATCTACTTTGTGTCTTGATAATGAAATACTGATGTATAATGTGTAATGGCTCTGGACTGTCATACAAGAGGCCCTCGGTTCAACTCTTGCTGTCATCATTGGACAATGTGTTTGCCCTCATTTAGCTCCAGATGTTTCCATTTGGTATACCTAGCTATATTATGGTCGGGTAAGTTTAGGTCCCTAGTGAGGGACGAACATTTATAATGATTGTCTGTGTAAATAAGATCATGGAAATGTTACAAAATAATGTTTTAGGTCGTCTGTTTAATATTTTGACTTGTAATATAAATGTCTTTTTAATATGAAAGATTTCACCTGACGTATATATTTTTTTTGCAGAGCTATGACGATTTCGAAGAAGCCGTGGAATTGGAATACCTCAAAAAGTTCCTGAAGCTTCCAGGATGGGATGAGGATGAAAAGAAGAAGGAAGAAGAAGAAAGGGAGAAGGAAAAGCAGGATGAAGAAAAAGATGAGGAGGAGGAAGGAGAAAAAGCCGAAGGCGCTGAAGATGAGAAAGAGAAGAAAGAAGGGGAAGAAAAAGAAGAAGAAGAGGAATCAACGAAGGGGGAAGACGAAGAGGATAAGGATGAAGAGGAGGAAAAGACTGACAAGGACAAAGAAGGAGATAAGAAAGAAGAGAAAGACGATAAGGGGAAATCTAAATTAAAAGCTAAAGTCGATTCAGATAAAAAAGACAAAGTGCCAGATAAGAAGAAGGACAAGCAAAAGGACGAAGCGTCAAAGAAAGAAGAGGAAAAAGAAAAGAAGGGAGGGAAAGATAAGAAGGATGAAAAGAAAGATGAGAAAAAAGATGAAGTGAAACTTATCAAGAAGCCGAAGCTAAAAGCAAAGGTAGACGTTGACAAAAAGGACGACAAAAAGGAAGATAAGACAAAGGAAGAGAAAGATAAGAAGGGAAAAGATGAGGAAAAGAAGGACGACAAGAAGAAAGATGATAAGAAGAAAGACGATAAGAAGAAAGACGATAAGGAGGAAGAAAAGAAAGACAAAAAAGAAGAAAAGGTAATAAAGAAACCCAAATTAAAATTAAAAGTTGATACCGACAAAGAAAAAGAAGCTGAAAAGGAAACGAAAGATAAAAAGGAAGAGTCAAAAGAGAAGGACGAAAAGGATGATAAATTGAAGGACCAAAAAGAAGAGTCAAAGGATAGTAAAAAGGACAAAAAAGATAAGAAGGACGAAAAGAAAGGTGACAAAGATGAAAAAGAAGACAAATCAAAGGAAGAAAAGAAAGAAGATGAAGGTAAGGAAGAGAAGGTGCTTAAGAGGCCAAAGTTGAAAACGAAAATTGATGTTGACAAGGAAGAAACTAAGGACGAAAAAGAGAAGGATGAAAAGAAGAAGAAAGATGAAAAGAAAGAAGAAAAGAAAGAAGAAACCGTCGTAAAGCGACCAAAACCTAAAGCAAAAATCGATGTCGATGAAAAGGATGATGCCTCAAAAGATGATGAGAAGAAGAAAGAAAAAGACAAGAAAGAAGAAGGAAAGAAAGAGGAAAAGGAGAAGGAGGAAGCAAAGGAAGAAAAGGCTAAGGTAATAAAAAGACCAAAACTGAATGCAAAAGTTGATGTAGATGATGAAACAGAAAAGAAAGATGAAAAGTCAAAAAATAAGGATGAAGAAAAAAAAAACAAGAAAGAAGAAAAACCAAAAGAAGATGAGAAAAAGGAAACAACTGTCCGAAGGCCACGATTAAAACCGAAGGTCGATGATGAAAAATCGGAAGAAAAGGAGGAGAAGAAAGAGAAGGAGAAGGAGAAGGAGAAGGAAGAAACGGTAGTGAAAAGACCAAGGCCTAAAGCTAAAGTAGATGTTGATACAGAAGATAAAAAGAAAGAAGAGAAGAAGGAAGAAAAGAAGGAGGGCGAAAAAAAAGAAGACGAAAAGAAGGAAGAAACAGTAGTGAAAAGACCAAGGATTAAAGCTAAAATAGATGTTGATACAGAAGATAAAAAGGAAGAAGAGAAGAAAGAGGAAGAAAAGAAAGAGGAAACTGTAGTGAAAAGACCCAGACCTAAAGCCAAGGTCGACGTCGAAACCGACGACGACAAGAAAGAAGAGGAGAAGAAAGAGGAGACCGTCGTTCGTAGACCTCGACCCAAAGCCAAGGTGGACGTCGAAGATGAAGAAAAGAAGGAGGAGAAAAAGGAGGAGGAGGAGGAAAAGAAGGAAGCGAAAGTTATTCGAAGACCCAGAATAAAAGCCAAAGTTGATGTTGATTAGTTTAAATAATATACTTTCAAAAAATGCACAATACTGAACCAAATTTCATTTGAAGCAGTTAATAAACATTGCAATCCCCTTCATATGCTATACCCAAAATTGAAATGGAAATTACTGTTCCGAGGTGTATCCAGAATCTCAAGAGTGGGGGGGGGGGGGGGGGGGCTGCTCTAAACAAAATTGATTGAGTTATATATGAATATACCAGATACAAATCGGAGGGTGCAAGGGGGGCACCTCTTGCACCCCGTGCCTTAGATCCACCATCACATGCAGTATAAACGCCAGTGTGCCTTTTTCTAATTTCTCTCCTTTTTGTGTACATAATTATTGTTTGTGTTTGGAAATACTGATCATGACGCTTGCGAAATGTAAGGTATCTAGTGTAAAAAATATGCTTCCTTGTGGCAGATACTGTTTAAAGTTTTATCTGCCCAGATCATCTTTCGTAAAATCCTCTTGGAAAAAAATATCGAAATATCGAAATTTATCCTTAAAATTATTTTGTGAGAATAATTAGCAGCATATAGTACTTGCATGTTGGTCACATCCATTTATATCGTTTTTATCTATTAGTGAGTAATGTTGCCTGAACTGATAATATTCTTTTGCAAGTATTCACTTTCACGCACCACCCCAGTTTACTGGCCATAATTTCAATTTCTCTCAATTTATCTTTCTATATTTTATTTTAAGCTGTTCAGATTAAAACGATCGCAATGACGAAAAATATACCTCATGCAATTCACTGTATACTAGTGAAATATTTATTTATTTATTCGTCGTTTAATATAAATCGTGATTGGCAGCCATCGGCCGAATTGTTCACAATTTACAGACACAATAAAAAAATACATGGAATGTAATATTGCAAATGGTAACTTTATAGAAAGAAATGTGCGAAAATGACAATGACATTATCGTGAATCTGCACACGACTTTATATCTAAACAGCCCAATAGGGTATATTGAAAATGCCTTTCAGATGATATCTCGAAAGTTTTTATGGTCGTGTTGAAAGCACACTCATCATGCTCTTGTTATTATCAACCTTATCTTACTGTATAGAAAGCTTCTTTTTTCGGGTAAAACTATTTTTTTTAAAAACTTCTTCTGAAATAATCATTTTTATGTTAACATTTTGAGGTGACTTGGGAACTCCAAATGTTCGTAAGTTTTTAAGTTAATCTGATACGTAAAGCAGATTTGAAGTTGTTCTCTACTCTAATCAAAATTATCTTTACATAATTTAGGATGCTTGTGCTATTTTGTCGTAGATTAAAATGGAACGGTAGATGTTTCTATTCTATGCACTGTCCTACATCAAAGGAGTCATTTCTAATTATTGCACAAAGTTTCCCCTTTCACGCAATTAAAAATAAATAAATGACGGCTTTACTGATTTTCGTTTTCTTAGCTTAAAATCATTATTAGTTTGCAATGTTGTTCTTAATGTTTTTGTAAATAATACCGAAGAAAACGTACGCCTTCAGTTACCTAAAGGAGTCATAATTATTATTTTGTATAAATATCCCTGCTTATATAATTTTTCGACTGCACGAACGGTTTTGTATATCATTGAGTTGTCTGCGTATATCTAATAAATTTACGTAATCAGAAATGTAATTGTCTCATTTCTTCTTGATTTTAGTTTCATTTGAAGCAAAATTGCTAGTTTGGAAAATATTTCCAGACAGCATGGACTCTAATATAAGAGAAATAAAAAAAGAGAGCGAGAGAGAGAGAGAGAGAAGAGAGAGAGAGAGAGAGAGAGAGAGAGAGAGAGAGAGAGAGAACAGAGAGAAAGGGAAAGAGAGACGGAGAGAGAGGGGAAGAATGAATATAGAAAAAAGTTTGTGTATAAGAGAGAGAGAGAGAGAGAGAGAGAGAGAGAGAGGGGGGGGGGGGGGGGGGGGGCTGGTGGGGGCAAAAGGGCTCTAATACACCCACAGTCTTGACATGAGAGAGTTTAAATACAACCAAGGCATGATGTGGTAGCCCCATCGATATTGTTTTCGTTGTGTATAATTGTTTGGACATTTTTGGCGGGAAGGCCAAATTTAGTAAATAAAACAATGTAGGCTGCGCTGAACTTAGTTTGTCTGTGTCGGCCTCAGTGTAATATCAGTATGATAAATGACATTGCTGATATAATAAGGGAAAAGAAGACAATTATATAAGCAATATTATCTTTGTTATTTTTTTCCTCAGAAAAGGAAATATGCGTCGGGCCGGGTAGCCTACGTGGTAGTCTAGCAAAAAGCTATCGGGAAGTTCATGCCCTCAGTCGGACAAAAGTATTTTTCGAGGACTTTTTATAGGCCGCCTAGTCCTAGCTAGCCTAGACAGCTATATTTACTTAAATAATAAAAATGGTGCTTATAAAGCGCTTACCACCCCACCGAAGAGGCCTTAGCGCTAAAACAATTAAACAAAATACAATAAAAAAAAAAAAAAAAAAAAAAAAAAGATACATACATAGTGCACTTTATAACAAATTGTTGAGTGTCATGTGCAGCTTTTTATAAATATACCATGGAGATAATCTCGATGAATATACTATATTTCGCTGTATATAAATACTCAACTTTTTCTCACCCCTATTGTTAACGTGTCCCCTACGTGTCCCCACATACAAATTGCATTAAAAAAAAAAAAAAATCCCCCCCCTCTCTCCCCAAACTTCATGAAAACAGCCTATGGTGTATTATTAAAGAGTAAAAATGTGATTAAATAAGGCAATGTAAATGAAAAGAAAATGGGAAAGAGACTCTATCGAATTAAAAAAAAAAATTATGGTAAGCTTTAATATTTATTTAAATGATTGCACAATCGGCTTACCATAACTATCATGTTATCCTCACAAGATGGCAGAGAGTTCTTCCGGAATTTTTTCATTTGACGACGAAATGTAAGTAGGAATTTGGTTTGTCTTAAGCATATTGCGTGAATAAGATGATTGTATTTTGTCAAAATGACATTTTAGCAATGTGTTCGTGATAACAAAATTCAGATTATGGTTTAGATCGAGCTCAATCAGTGTACCAAATCATCAAATGTCAAACAAAATCTTCAGAATGCAGAGACGGAGCTGAGCGGCCTCAAAGATGTCGGCCACACCGGCAGCGGTCGCGGGTAGCAAGTGGAGTGGCGCTGGTTGAGCTGAGCCATATTGGGCGCTAGTGTACTTTCATATCCATTTTTGACCCCTAACTCCGGCGTGGAGCAAACTGCTGCACAATTACATTACAAGTGCATACCGTACTGTACCGACGAAGGGCCAGGATGTGGGCGCGCGAGCGTGCATGAAGTTATTGACTGTATTAATCGACTTTATGCACGCTCGCGCGCACCTTGGCCCTTGCGTACAGTAAGTTATGCAATTGTATTGTAATTGTGCAGTGGTTTGTCGTGAAACTTGTGGGAAAGTGAATATTACATTGTCTTTGTTTTTAGGAAAAATACTCCAAAAAAGACAAAAAATTGACATGAAAGGGGTAAGAAATATAGAACGACTTTATATCAAGACCATTATTTGAACAATTGATGAAGATTTAGTTGAGTTTTGGTATGTTTTAGTAGGCTATCTCCACGCCGGAGTTATGGGTAAAAAATGGTAATGAAAATTACACTAGCGCCTTATTTCTTTGCTACATTTTCTTTTTGTCTTTTGGCGTGTAATAATCTTTTTTTAATATGAAAAAGTGTTGATTAATTGTATTATTAAATTATGACCAACTTACTGGCAAAAATCTATGCTATCGTGCAGGCAAGATTGTATGTACATGTCTAGAGATTTGACATCAAGCCATTTTAGAATAAAATATTTCAAGAGTACATGTTCAACAAAAAAATTTATACAAAATGTTTCATTTTATCTATCTTTAACAGATGCAATGGGCCCAGTTGAATTCGAACGATTAGATCTCACATAAAATTTATCTTGGTCTCTTCAAATTTAATCTCGTTGTACAGGTCAGACCAAGGTCAAGGAGGTGGCCAAGTGGATTCTCTAAACAACGCCAACTCAGCAACAGCAGCTGGTAAGGCTTCGTCAGAAGAATTCCTTGAACCGAGTGGTTACAAGAAACTCTCTCAAGATGGAGATGGAAGCTTTGATCCAGAAGATAATCCAGGAGATAATCCAGGATCTTATGAGTACCTCTACGGTAGCACCCCACCTCGTCAGATGCGAAGTGAGAGGAAGCAGACTAACAAGGGGAACAGTGGAAAGGGCGGGAAGCCACCCCGGCTGGTGCTGCAGGGTACTCCTAAGAAAGAGCCCAAGAAGGAAAAAACCCAGAATCAGGCCAAAAGATCTCTTGCCAAAAAGATGGACTCTGCAGACTTTGGACAGTCTGCACAGAATACCAAGCAAAAGCTTCATCAGCGGAAGATGAGAAGTATACACCTTGACAGGACTAGTGAACGTGAGTTTAAACAGAAAGCCATCACGTATGATGGATCGGAGTTACACGTGCCCCTCACTCCTACTCATGTCTTTCGTCCGTTTGACTCGCTGCCATCCCCCAACCTCAAGATCGACTCCTCGACATGTTTCCGTAGCGTCAAGTCCCAGCAGGTGAGTCCCCCGCATTCTCCAAGAAGCAGGCACAAGAAAACGTCCACATCTTCAAAGCTACAGTATGCACCAGAGAGGGTCGATTTCCACCGTACCTTCTCTGCTCTGATACGCATGGGGAGTGCCAAGAAGGAGAATAGCCAGGAGATCACCCAGAGGATTCGCAGACAGGATGGAATGACTCAGGATGTCTTCCAGATGCAGTGGAATGAGATACTGTGGCTGGAGCTCACCGCCTACCATAATGAACTCAGCATCACAGACCAGGATTTACACCTCATCAATGCCCGCAAGAAAGTTGCCGAAGTCTTTGACGAAATCATGAAATTCAAGTACCAAAGTATGATGGAAGGCAAGAGCATCAAGTCAACATGTTCACTCGATAGAAAACGATCGTCTTTCAAAAATGTGCAAAGAAATCTTGCCAAGTTTGCAGGTGGAAGGTCCAGCAGCTCCTCGGGCTCCAGCTCTCACGGGGATTCCGTTGAAACTTCCCAAATGAATGGGAATGCATGCGATACTTGTTGTAACCCCAACCCTGTTCAACGGAGACATCCAAGTGTGTCGGACAACGGATTCTGTATGCCCCTCAGTGCTGCCCTTAATGCGTACATAACAGACACCAGTGAGGCATGGTACAAGGTTCATGCCCTGCTTGAAGATTTGGAAAAGGTGCAACTACTTTACCCAAACAGCAAGGCACTGCAGAATGACTGCGTAGAGCTCAGTACACCAGAGTTCACCAAGAGGCTGGAGACATTGTGCTTATGGATGAATATTACAAATGACATCAGTCACAAATTTGAACTGACTTCTCAGATTCTGGGTGTTGTAGACCTAGAGGGTTTGTGGTGGCCATATCTGGATCTCCCTGGGTATTGTGTGGAAAACCCTTTCCAGTCTGAATCATGTATTGAAAGTGAAATGGATGATGAGGTCAAGCCGATGGTCAGGCCTACTGCCAGGAGACCTATGCTGGGAGCCTTGGGTCACTGGGATTGTGTCCAGTCCAACTCACAGGATATGGTTCAGGGGGCATCTTGCGACACTCAGTCAACCTCCTTGTCACGTGATATGTCCCATGATGCTTTGGACTCTAGGGATATGTCACATGACCGCATGGACTCGCGAGATATGTCTCACGATCGCAAAGACTCCTCCTGCCCTCAACTGCCAAACTCCATCCCAGAAGACCACGTAGAAGACGATCAAACACCATTTCCTCCCAAAGGTAGTCAAGATGATGACTATCCTCCCAATCGCTATGACGATGACGATTACTGCTCTGAGGTGTCCTTTGGATCAAGATCAGTTAGTCTTTCATCTACTCAATCCTCAAATCCTATGCTTCATAGAACTCGCTCTGTTACCTTTGATATTTCCCAGAACGAATTTGATGATTCAACTCCAAACCTTGAGGGAACAGAACAACCAGCATTGACAAGCACACCCCAGTACAGGAGCCCTCGTACTGATGAGTCTCCGCGCACAAACAGGATCTTCAGTGAGTGCCACTTCAGCTTCGACTACGACTCGTCAACGTCCATCTACAGACCATTTGTTGACCGCAGTCTGAAGCACCAGGGCTTGAGGAAGATGACCAAGAGACTGGATAAGATGCTGGGTCATACGATGAGGAAGATACGGCTTGCTCTGGAAAAGTCTACAGATAACACTCAGGACTGTAGGAGAATATCAACAGGGGTAAGATATTGTGACTTACTGTATATGGTAGCAAAGTGATTTAGTTGTAGCTTTTTTAAAAATTGGTCTTTCAATTTTCCTTGATTAACTTTATAAATATGATGTTAAACGACAAACATGTAACGTCAACAAAGAATGTTGTCATAGCCAGTTAGCGACGGACAGTTTAAAAAGGTCAAATTTTGGTATTGCATATAATACAGAAAAGGTTGCCTTTTGTTCTTGAAATTAAAGATACAGGTAGGTTCATAGATATAGATCCTGAAATGATGTTTTATTGAAGATGGAGAATGAAACTAGACACTCTGATCGAATTCATGGACCATGTTATCTTTGAGACATGTTTGTAAACACTAATTGGCATGGTTAGGATTAAGGAAGTTGAATGGAAATTTTAATTCTGTAAATGTATTTCAAGAAATGCCCTATGTGGTACTCCTTGCAGAGTGACATTGACCTGACCTTGAAGCCCTCAGGTACTCCTCAGTTCTTTGAAACCCCCAGCCCATCCACCGAGCAGACCCACGGCACGCAGCTACAGAGCCATGGGGCTTGGAGCAAAGAGTTTCAGGATATGAGTCTCCCATCATTCATGTGAGTTGAATATGCTTTGATTCGGGCCCAAGTCGTAATGGTTTTCCCCATGGTTGAGCACCATGATACCTGTATATGTACATGTATATGTTGTTTAAATTGGCAACCGAGATATCAAATTTAGGAATACCAACATTTATAACATTAAAAGTACAGATACCTACTAGACATTTGTCTTAGGAATGATGAAAAATTCTATTTTATATTTAACATGTATGAAATATCTATCTTTTAGTTACCATCCCATTTTGTTTGACCTTGATACCAAAAACACCATAAATTCTACCTGATTCAATGATATAACACATCATTAAACAATATGTGGGTTAAGAACTACGATCTACCAGAAATATTGAAATGATTGCATGTTGTTTCATGTGTAATATAAAAACCATCACTTTTCTTATTGTTATTTTTGTATGAACAGGCCAGCATATTTGTTCCTAGTGCGCATTCCTCTGGATGTCATGCATGAGTGTCTGAGATTTAGACTAGAGCACAAACCAGAAGCCGATCCCTCAAGACACAGTATACAACAGGTATGTAGAAAATTTCTTCATTTGATGTAAGGAGGCGAGTTGACTCGGTCGGTAAAGCGTCTGCCTGTCGAACCAAAGATCTTGGGTTTGAATCCAACCCAGACGGGAGACTGAAGCCTGCGATGTGTGTTAATGTGCCCCTCCCATTGTTTCATATAGGACGTTAAATGGAGGCCCCTTTTTGAGGAGAGTCACCACCTCTGCACACTAGGAACCCACTGCACTATTCGTATAAGAGTAGGGGAAAATCCAGGTGTAGTGGTCCACCTGCACACCCCAATCAGTTATACCGGAGGAGAGACCCAGAGGGTTACATGTACAGTGATTCAGTTCGCCTTTTCCCTCCTACGCACAGGTGACATTGTGCTCTCAATAGTGAAAGTATTGTCGGTCAATTGATGTGAAATAATCCAATCAAAGTCCTAGATGTTCTCTTACACGTTATAAGTAAAGGTTTGTTTTGACCTATGACCTCCACAGCTTATCCGTGAATACAAGGAAGTGATTGGTGCCTGCACACACGTGAAGCAGTATTACCATGACATGGTGAGCGCTGTTACACTGGGTGATGTCAGGGCACAGGAGCATGTAGACAACGACATTGATGACTATGAAAACGATCTCCAAGAAATGCTGCAGGTTAGTGTTGGAGATGAAGAGACTATTAGGGCGTTGCAAGAAAGTTGCGATTGAAATTTGCAACTGATATTTGCAGTTGATTGCAACTCAACTTTCTCGCAACGCCCCACTAGTCTTCTAAATTTCCTAGGACTTTGTTATGATTAAAGTTTTAACTATTAAATTAAGTCAACTTTTATTCTCCCCCTCTCTCTCTCTTACTAATGGGGCATTGCTAGAAAGTTGAGTTGCGATCAGTTGCAAATTAACAATTAATCGCAAGACTCACGCTTGATTTGGGGGATTTGCAATTGATTGCAACTTTCTTGCAACGCCCCATACAGGTATGTCTAATTCAATTCAGTTCATGTTGCGCAATCATTAAAATCATTTTAATCATTTCTTTCATTTTAAAAATGTGTCAGTGATTTGTGTCTTTGATTACTATCAAGGTCAACAATATACATTTTCTGAAATCTTGTTTCTAATGGGAGTTTCATGTCACTTATGAATATGTTGCCTTTGGTATCCTAGGTCTACTTTGAGTATGTCCATAGTCGCATGCTGATGCTACAGAAACTCCCCCAGGCTTCGGTGAGCCTCAAGAACGTCCTGGAAGAAGAATGGGCGTTTGCCAAGGAGATGTGCCCCTGTATACGGGGAGGAGAGGCTCAGGCAGGCAAGAGATTCTGGTAAGACTCAGGCCTGATAATTACCAGATTTAAATCGGTTTCACGATTTTTCTTATTTTTTTCCTGATTTTTTCCAGATTTTCTTTTCCCATTTTTGTTAGTGCTCATTATCACCCCTGAAGACTCATATATACATTTATACATCAACATTTTGTGGACACATGAATTAATGGTCAGTTGTTTTACTCAATAATACAGATCATTTTTTCAGAAAAAAAAAATTTCTTTGTCAAAGAAAGATTATGTTCTGGAGTTACTTTATACCATGTTGGTTTTCCATCTGAAATTTGTGTGGAAGTCATATGGTTGATTATTCAATTTCCTTCAGATATTAGGGTACATCATCCTTATTTGACAAAGCAATTTAATCTTGCACAGTTTTTTGTGTAACATTTTACCTGTTTTTCTTTCTCCCAATGGGAAGGTGTTTTCCTTTTCTAACTGCTATTAAAAGGATAATTTGACCAGTTGTTTGGGGGGGGGGGGATACTATAATCACCAAATGTCTTGGTTTTTATTTGACATTTGGACCATTTATCTAATGGTTTTACCCATTTTCTTCTACTTTAATATACAAGTCCAAATGTGATTCCCCCTTCCCATAGATACATGTGCAGAATGTCAAACCTCAGTCACATTCGTTAGGCTGACACCAGATGGCCAACAACAAAGTAAAACATGCATTACCAGTATGGAGTCAGTTTGGTAGTGTGACTGCAGTATTAGCCCTTTCGACTTTCAAACAGCCATCTTTAGCAACTAAACCGCCCAAAACCACCCCTCCTTTTACTCACTGACCCGCCAGAAACCGCCCGTCCGTTTTCAAGGCGCTGTAGTATCCGTTCTATGGGGTCTACCGTGATAACGTTAAATGTACATGATCCTTACAATGTCTACAGTAGGATTCTGCATAGAAAAATAATGCATGTTTCATATTGTTCAGAACAATGTCAAAATGAGAGCAATATTGCAACATCCAGTGAGGAATAGGCCATTTTTACAAAATCTCTAGTTGCTAATAACTCTCCTTCTTTCCAAACCTCTCGGCACAGTATCATGGCGAGTAACCTGCTGCATTCTACTGCGGAGTACCTTGAACAGAGAGTGGATGATGAGTGCGCTCATCTACAGGATAGCCATTCAGGCGGTGGAGCAATCAAGTGAGTCACAGCAACTAACCTAAATATGCATGGGTGGGACCCTGGGAATAATTATTAGCTAACTTTTATAGGTATGGAGTGGGACTGAGGAAACAATAATTTAATAACTTAAATATGCATGGTATGGGACCAAGGGAATAATTATTAACTAACTACATATTAATGGGGTGGGACTGAGGAAAAATAATTAAATAACTTAAATATGAATAGCAAGGGACCAAGGGAACAATTATTAACTAACTTTCATAGGTATGGGGTGGGACTGATGGAGGAATTTTCAATCAGTTCTCTAATGTTTTGGGTTGGACCAAAGTACCAATTCCAAACCTACTTATATTGTATATGGTATAATAAGAGACATACATGTGTATTAGGCTTTCAGTTCAATGTTTTTTTCAACCAATGATAACTAAAAACATGATTAATTAGATACTTAGGATTTCTGAAAATTGAGGCTTAATATATGCCAGACTTAACTACTTTATTTTTAATATGTTATACAAAATTTTTAAAAGGAGAAATGTTGTTGTTGTTGTTGTTGGGGTTTAGATGGCACTCTTCAATCTTGACAGATTATCTGCGCCACGGCGTTCCTTCTTTGGTGCATGTTCATCTTTTCGAACTTGATCTCGTGGCTCACTTTTACTGATGGGGGTCTGTCTTTCCAGACTTCTGTTTTCGAATCATGACTTGGCTCACCTGTCTCAGCGAAGTGCTACTGTGCAAGATTAATTATGTTTAATTTCCCTTCACCATTAGTCGTGCATTTTAATCATAAGGATGTAATCCTTATGATTTTAATACTGATGATATTCAAACATTTCAATCATAATCATAATCATAATATACTCACCAAGGAAACAAAAACAAAAGGCCTTTTATAGGCTGATTTAAGATTATTTGAGACCTTATGATCAGGATTTTAATGAAATGGATAAAATGCTTGTGTTATCTATTGTAACAATGCATCCTTACAGCTATACCCTCTAAAATTCACGACTTTACCAATTCTGATTTTCTGCAACATTTTTCAGACGTATCATCACTGGGTCCTGTCGTAAGTTCAGGGAACTCTTTCATGAGGTGCGTGACAGAGCTGCCAAGGCCCTAGGCTTCGCTAAGATGTTGACCAAGGTTAGTACACGTTTAGATTATGTGTGTGATGGGTTGTTATGTTTTATTCGGAGCTGATCAGGGGCCTATTTCATGAAACTTGTTACTGATAGTTCTGCCACAGATCCATTACAAACTTGCTCATAGCCAATCAAATCTTCAGATTTTGGTAGCATCTAACATGTTATTGATAACATGTTTTATGAAACAGAGCCCAGAAATATTGTTGTATATCACTTGCTTATGTTGATGTGTGTTCAGTACACAATGTTCTGTTCATGTCATACGTTTTTTCACAGGCATGATATTATACATTGAGATCTAATAGATGATTAGTTTGCATATGTGTACAAGAGGCAAGTTTGTTGCAAGTGGACTCGTGCATTGAGAAATGCTTGGTAAAAGGCTCCTAAATGTATACATGCATGCTCCCTTTATTATTTAATGATAAGACCTAGATACTTTGGGATGAAACTTTCTTGAAAACTCTCTCATTTGTCTTGAGTTACAACAAAGTCATGAAAATTAATGTTCCGATGTTACTCTAACTCTTCATCTTTCTCTGTGTTCTATAATCCCTGCAGGATTTAGAGATAGCATCTGAGTTCACTCTGAACACGTCGTTGGGAGACTTGATGAACAACCTCAAGCTTTCTAGTCATGTCAAGGTAAAAATGTTAGGCATGTTCAGACTGACTCTTGTCTTAGAAGATAACGTAATTGTTTATCATTCATACATTGCCAGGCCTTAAATTTCAATATTTCTAGGACAAGGCCACTTTTCTGTAGGGCACATTCCTATATTACAGCACAAATAGGAAGAATTGGAAAAGGCACACAAAACCTCCAAGACCAATGAGAGGGGCGTTGAGGCCAATCAAAAGGGCATCCACTGCCATGGCCTTGGTGGCCTTGGATTAATATAAGCCCTGCATTGCTGTACCATGTCCTGGCAGGAGCAGTTAATGGCCTAGGACATTAACTTACATCTGCTACTCTCTACCCAGGTGTAGTAAATACATACCTTTTGCAAAGAAATTCATTGAGTGCTTTCAATTGCTTGGGGAGGCTTGGCTGAAGCCAGAGTTTTATTAGTTAGGTGCCTTGAGCTTCCATTTAGATGGATTTTCCCAAGTATAAATGTAGTATTCATACAAGTACATTGAAGAATGTACTCATAAACATTTAGTGGTGCATCATCATCCAACATTTTTTGTTTGTATGTAAATTTTTAGGATCATCTACCTATAAGTTTCTGTAACTTTTTTGATGATTCAACCATTTCGTAATTTTCTTTAGTGTATTTTCCATTTTATTGGCTTATCTATGTTTGCAAGAATTATTCTATTGTATTCTTTGCCTTTGTATGTTTTTATGAAAGTGGTGAATAAATTCAATTCAATTTAATTCAACGTAAACCAATTTTTTCTTAACAGGTCCTCCTGACCAGTTTCCCCGGTTACCAAGTCTTTGTACCTCAGCACCTTCACCAGAACACCCCTCAGATTCTCCACCTCCTCAATGACCTCTGCGGACGAGAGGACTTCCTGTCGACCTCTGACCCCAGCTCTCCGGACGCCAGTGACGGCTATCTCCTGCTGGTGAAGGACGAGGAGAGAGAGGCGGAGTCAAAGTGGGGCGGAGACACGACGTCCGTCAACCCCAACATCGAGACAACCATTGCTACCTCAGACATACAGGTTAATAATAATATTCTGCTTTTATATAGCGCCCAATACATCGATACAACAATGTGTCTAAGCGCTTTACAGATATATTATTACCCCGGTCATTGGATTCAGGCTTACAAGCTCACAATTTATTCTCCACTCCCTGGGGAGCATTGTTAGTCTTGTTCTTCATGTCCAAACCAATTGAGAGGTTTGTAGAGTGATATAGCATTTCTCTAGGCATCTTAATAGATGCACCTAGAGAATAAAGAATATCCTATCTATGATTGACAACTCAATAAACCATTCATATTTACACCTGCCATGATTAAGTATGGTGTCTTGCTTTATGGTTCTTGATTCTCGGCGGATAGTTGGTTACCCATAGTCCAGGGACCCGTTTCACAAAGCCTTTTTGTAATGACAAATGACAAAAATCAGTGACAAATCTGTTGATAACCAATCAGAAGCAAGGATTTCAGTAGCTATAACAAAAACTGTCATTTGTCATTGATGACAAGTTTTGTGAAACGCCCCCCAGATTGGTTGATCCCAGGTGAATGTTTTGGAAGGACTTCCCCGGTGACTCCAGGCAACTCCAGGCAACTCCAGGCATTCCAGAGAGCTATGGGCAGTACAGTCACTCTGATCAATGAACAGATGACTAGATTACACATACCTTTAACAGGGCTCCACACAAACTTTTTTGGTAAGGGGGTCCGAATTGAACCTCTACAGTCTGTATGCCTGAGCCCTACATAAAAACTTCAAAATGTTGTGGTCCGGACTTAGATTTGTGGGTGTCCCTGGCTCCTGGTAATGTTGAGCCCTGTCTTCAATCTGTAGGTGCCGATTGTAAATGTCTGTTGTTTGTTTGTTTTTGTTGATTTAGGTGGAAAGTATCCTTCTAGTTGTGAACCACTCATCACAGTTGACCACGCAACGTAAGGCATTCCAGAGAGCCATGGGCAGTACGGTCACTCTGATCAATGAACAGACGTCCAGCCATAACACCATTGCTGAGGCTCTCGGGGAACTTAAGGTACATGCTTTTTACAGCATTTTATTATTTAGGATAATGCCCTGGCCCTATGTCTTAACAACATAGCTGTGTTAACACCATATCTTAATTCTATTTGCCTACCCAGGATAACGCACTTACCCTATATCTTAACAACATAGCTGTGTCCACACCATATCTTAATTCTACTCGCCTACCCAGAATAATGCACTGACCCTTTGTAAAAACAACACAGATGTGTTCTGCTCTCCCACTGTGCCTTAATATGATAGATGTGTTCACACCACAGTTAATTCTATTTGCCTACCCAAGGTAAGTCCTCATCCTCTGTCTTAACTAAATAGCTGTGTTCATACCATATCTTAATTCTATTTGCTTACCCAGGATAATGCCCTCACCTTATGTTTTAACAACATAGCTGTGTTCACACGACAATTAGTTCTATTTGCCTATCAAGGATAATGCCCTCACCCTTTTAATTAACAACATAGCTGTGTTCACACCATATCTTAATTCTATTTTCCTACCCAGGATAATGCACTAACCCTTTGTGAAAACAACACAGGGGGGACTTGAAGATATCTTTAAGTGGGAAAATAACGACTTTTAGTTGTCAAATCGACTTAAGAGCTATAGAGCCATTAAGTAATAGTCTGAATGTACGTTTTGTGCTGCGCAAAGATTCAATCAGTTTAATTTTGGCCTTTACAAGAAGTAGGTTATTGATGTTGAGAAAATGCTCATGTACCCTTTACAGCTCATTTTATGTATGTTATTACCAAAGAAGAAAAAAAGCCAGTCAGTCACTCAATAGTGTCTGACAGTGAAGTCTAGCATGTAAACAGGTTTTGTTGCATAATTTGAATATTAGGACACTGCTAACGTTTTAATTTCACTTGACTTACTTGACTTGACTTAGGTGCATGGGACGGTGTGTCCCCTTGCTCCCCTGCGAGAAATCATGCTCCAGTCTGATCTGTCCTGGGCTCGTTGCTCTGCCTCTTGTGTGGATAATCCCACATCGCATTGAACCTGGTCCTTCCATCTCTTTGGAGGGCGTCCCCGTGGTCTGCGTCCATTAAAGTCATTTTGGAATGCTTGGTATGGTAGGCGGTGATGCGGCATGTGTAAAACATGGCCAAACCATTTCAAACGACGTTTCGTTATTTCCTCGCATATGGTGCTTGGGACATTCAGTCTCTGCCTGATCGCATCGTTCCTTATCTTGTCCATTAGGTGAACTCCAAGGATGGTCCGGAAACACCTCATTTCAAATACCTCAAGCTTATTTCTATCAGACTTTCGGAGAGTCCAGGATTCTGCTCCATATGTGGCAATAGGGAGGATAAGTGCTCTGTAGATCCTGACTTTGAGTCTCCTAGAAATATCTTGGTTGGACCAGATGGCACTTTTCAGTCTTCCGAATGCCCAAGCAGCAAGTCTTGTACGTCTCTTCAAGTCCTCTTCTATAGATGGAACTGTGCTGCCGAGAAAGACAAATTTTTCCACTTTCTCAATGTTGGTGTTGTTAAGTGAAATATCTTGTTGATCCTCTGTCATGACTTTGCATTTTGTTGCATTGATTTTCATACCCCATCTTCTACATGCTTTCTCCAGTTCATTTGTTGAGATTTGGAGGTTTTCAATTTCACACCATATCTTAATTCTATTTGCCTACCTAGGATAATGCACTTACCCTCTGTGAAACCTTAGTGGCCGCCATCTGTCAGGTTGAAGAGAACCTCATCTTAGATTCCATGGTTGACGTAGAGGAGATGGAGAGGAACAACATCCTCAAGTACTCCAGGGATGGAATGTGCCAGTGCTTCTCAGTCGGATTTGAGGTAAAGAGAAAAAAAACGCTGTTATCATTGTCTTCCTATCTCCTTTTTCTGTATGTGTGTGTGCGTAGGAAAACACCAGCAACCGCGGACCACTCCATAGAAAACTACCTCAAACCGCGGACGTACCTGCAATGGGGGACCGTCCACGGTTGCGATACCGGTTCCGCCGTATCAAATTTACGACGTAGGGGGCGTTTGAATATTAGATGTCACAGCGTGTAGGCAACATCGACTGGATCAGTCCGATGTGTATCGCGAAATGTCACAGCGCCCCCTTTTTACTGCGCGGGAGAGGCGCTCGCTACCTGGATCATCCCATAGGAGGTACGTCCGCGGTTTGATGTAGTTTTCTATGGAGTGGTCCGCGGTTGCTGGTGATTACCTACGCACACACACACAAGTACTAAACTTGGTCCACGGTTGACGCCATTTCCCTGTAGTGGTGTGTGTGGAATTAGGTTTTTAGGAGTATCAATCAGATATGATTATTTACGTCTGTGGACAGACCTTTAAACGTCACCATCCAAAAGACGTGACTCAGTTTCGAACTTACGTCCTCGGCTGAATCAGATTGTAACTTCCATTGTTAGCTGAATATCAGGCGCAAAACACAATGCCCCGTCTTTCTACCCCTAATTTATACCTTTCATCCTCGATCTCTGCTTCTCTAGTTGGTTCCTCTTTGTCTTTTCTTTCCTTCTTATTTCATCATCATTCTGTTTCTCTTCTTGCACATTTCCTTGATGCTTTTTATTTACCATCACTTCCCCCCCCCCCTTCGTTCGTTTGTTTGTCTGTTTCTATATCAGTAAATTAAAAGAACAAAAACTGTATACAAACGTTTACAATTTAAAAGAAAAATGAACTGCGATACAAGCGAGATAAAAGAAAGGAATCATTTGGCTGGTAACCCTTTCAATCCATCATGTTTGAATTGTTGTTTTACTCTTTCGTTTGATATTTCCCTTCATTGATTTATTGTCTATTTAAATACATGTGCAAGAGATCTGTTCAAATATTTGTGATATCTTTCAACCTCTTCGATCGATTAAAGTGACTCAGTAACATTGCCTCAGATTCTGAAACAAAATCCTGGATTTAGCTCATGTTGCAATCATAATTATAAACCTTTAGGTCAGTCAGGAATCCCATGACTTTTACAAGCCAATTGCCTGTCTTATTATCAAGATATTTATGATTGGAAATTGAAATTTCATTTTTTGTTTTCCTAACGGTTTTATAACACTACAGTCTATTGGGGAAAATGAGTATGGTAAAACGGTCACTCTAAGATATTTTTACTTTTTTGAGACACTTCATGATCATTTTGAAGCGCAATTTTTTAAGGGCTTCAATATTACACCATATCACAGACACTGATAACACGTAGGGGCATGCATCTCAGATTTAACAATGTTAAACGATGCCTTTAATGCTTACAGTACCACAAGGAGGTGAGCCGGCTGCTGTCCAACAAACGAGGTCTAGGAGAGTCCATTCTCAAGCTGGCTCAGCAGTGGATGAACTTTGCCCTCAACAAATGGGAACGAGGAAAGGGACGAAGACCTAGGTATGGTATAAATACTGAGCACCAATCCGGCAGGAAGGTGCCAATTGCGGTGCAGGGTTTTCATGGACCAGTGGATCTGAGATTAAGCTATTAAAAAAGGAAAAAAGAAGAAGAAAAGGAAAAGAAAATATTATCTATAACTAGAGATTTATGAAGAGTATGAATTTACAAATAGTAAACAAAAAAGAAAGATAAAAAAAGTGAAAGACTTAGATATTCTCAAAAAGAATGAAATGCTGATAACACCAAAAAACAACAAAAGCAACAACAATTGAAAAGCCAGAGGGGACTCTCTTTCACTTGTAGGAATTGGCCATTTTTATTCTACATTAGTTGACTTGATGTAAATTTTGAACATCTATCATATGAGCAAAAGTCTACATGTAATATTTGTTGGATGTGATTTTCATTTTATCTCTTATATAATAATTTCCTTGTTCTCAAAATCATGTAGATGGGCGAACCAAGGACTGGAGTTTCTTATTCTTGCTTGTGAACCTCGTAACGTTGCACATCTTGTAGAGGAAGAGTTCCAGGTAATGAGCCAATCTTATACATTGCATTAAATACATAGCTGCCATGAAAACTATGATGATGAAAAATGTCTTTAATATATATATATATAAAAGTGACAGCATTTATAGTTGACTTTTTGTTTTTATTATTATTATTATTATTATTTATTCGGCATTTCAAAATACAAGAACAATACAGAGTAATATGCAAATTACAGCAATTACAGGAACATATAATACATGATAAAGAAAGGACCTGAATCAGAGATGATAGGGCTGCCTGGGTTTGGAAAAGGTTAACTAAATTACCATGACCCACAGGTCTTCCTTCCCACACCCCTTCAACTCCATCCAGGTCAGGATAAGAAAATCCAAAGAAAACATATTATATAAATTAATAGTGTATAACTGGAAACTGGCAACACACTTAGTGTAATAAATGTAACATGAATGTCTCAAGCAATATAACATTCAAACTAATCATTTAAACATGTATAATAATTCAAATATATGATTGAATTATAAACAGATTGACAAAACTTACCAATAATTATTATCTAATTTGTCTGCCATCGACTGTACTAAGTAATTCAATTAATTCGTAAAAAAAGTCGGATTTCATTATTAATTAATTAAAAAACAACTATTAGACAATGATTCTTAAATAGTTGTGAAGACAAATACATAGTGAGACTATAATAATTGAGATCAAAAATATTCTTATATTTATACAAATAAAAAATATGAGTTAAATTAATTACATGTTCAGAGTATGACATAGACCAGAATCGAATGACCAAATGAAAAAGAAAGTAAAGAAAGTAATGCCAGATGACATCAAGAATGTCAAGATCAAGAATATCCTTGCAATTATACAAATAAAATTATGAGTTGCATTAATAACATAGAGTAAGGACAAGGGCAAGAACCGAATGACCTAATGAAAGTGAAAGTAATGCCAGATGGGTATACTAAACAAAATCATGTCAGCTGTTAGGTGGTATAGAAAAGATTGTAATGAAATTTAAAGAACAGAGAAAATTTCGTGACGAAGAAGAGTGAGAAGCTTTGAAATATTTCCAGAAACAATTTCGTCTTTGACATGTGAGGGAAGACTCTCCCAAATAATGGGAAATCTGTGAACTGCAGTTTGGTGAAGACGTTCGGTTCTTGCCCTGAGGTGTTGGAATAAAATGGTATGTTCACTCTGGCGTGGTCTTATTCTCATTCACTGCTTCACACCACACGATACCGTAGAGAGTTTTAATTACGAAGGAAATCAAGAGATATTTCCTTCTTGATTCCAGGGTAAACCATGCAAGGTTTTGGAGACGTTGTGGATAAGGCATTTCTTGACGCCTTTGTTTCAAAATCAGTCGTGTTGCCCTCCTCTGAACTCGTTCCAAGGCTTCCACATGTTTTCTTGTGTAAACATACCAGGATGGAACTCCATATTCCAAGATAGGCAACACGAGTGATTTGTACAAACATAACAATGCCTGCTGGGACACGCCCCTACCCAACCTAGAAATGAGACCAAGCATTCTGTTTGCCTTCTTAATTACATTATTAACTTGGTCATCCCATGTCAGGCTGGAATTGAGGGTAATTCCAAGGTACTTGATTGAATTCACTTGTTCAATTGTGTTATCATCAATGGTGTACTTTGTCTTTTCGACATTTCTCTTACGAGGGGCAATTCTGAGAACTTTGGTTTTCGTAGCATTAAGTTGCATTTTGTTAATGCTGCACCAGTTTATGACATGAGTAATGTCTGCTTGGAGCATTTGCATATCAGTCTCATTTCTAATTATGCGGTACAGAAGCGTGTCGTCAGCAAAAAGCACACATTTCGATTGGACTACATGGGTGATATCATTAACGAACAAATTGAATAGCCGTGGTCCTAATACACTTCCCTGAGGTATTCCCGAGGTCACTATTGACCAATCAGACCGTGATCCTCGGAACTGGACAGTTTGTTCCCTCCCACAAACAAAAGAACTAACCCATTCCCAAACATTACTTTGAATGTTATATTTCTTAGCTAATTTATTGAGGAGAAGATCATGGGGCATGCGATCAAAGGCTTTGCTAAAATCCAAGAAAATAGCATCAATTAGAGGGGTGGGTGTTACATCAAGGGACGAAAACCAGTCATGTGTGATGTTGAGTACTTGTGTAACACATGATCGTTTAGGTGTGAATCCGTGTTGTTTGGGGGAAAGTAGACCATATGACTCAACATGTGCTACAATACATTTGTCAACAAAGGTTTCCATCATTTTGCAAACAACAGAAGTGAGCGCAACTGGGCGATAATTGCGAAAATCAGAGGGATTGCCAGATTTATGAACAGGGATGACAATCGATTGTTTCCATTGTTTGGGTAGTTGACCTAGTGAAAGTGAAATTTGGAACATGCGTTGTAATACTATGGATATGGGCTCTTTCACTTTTTTGAGGATAACAGCCGTAATCCCATCAATTCCGGTGATTTATTCAATGACAAGTTATCAATGAGCTTCACAATTTCACATGTAGGGAAATCAAGGGTATTCAATGGAGCAATAGGAAAGTCACAAGCACTGGGCAATTCAGGAACATTATCAGGGTCAGATTGATTAAAAACTGAAACAAAATAATCAGAAAAACAATTAGCAATCTCCTCGGGCTTGTTCAGTACATTATCTTGATCAGAAATTATAGGTGGAGTTGGGTTGCGTCTCAGAGAGCGCATATATCCAAAGAATCGCTTCCTGTTATCATGCATAGAGAAAAGACCATTCAAATAACGCCAATAAGACTTGTTAGATTCTTGCTTGGCATGATTGCGAGCTCTTTTGTACTTGTCCCACCATTCATTCCTTACGTCTTCCTCGTCTTCAAAATGAGATTTGGCTGAAACAAAAAGCTTCTTAGCCTTATTAGTTAGCCGTTTTATTTGCGGGGTTACTTTGTTTTGTTTGATACTCGAAAGTATACACACTGACAAAATCCAGTCAAACTTTTTTTTTTCTTCTTTTTCTCAAAGCATCAAAAAGGAGTAGATTTGAATATTGTGAGAGGAATGCATTAATGTTGTAGCTTTTTGGACATTTGAATCAAGGAAATTGGTACCTTTTATTCATCTGGAAAAATTAGAAAAAAAGTCATTAAATGGATGTATATATATTTCTTTTTACTCAGGATCTTCAGCGTCTCATGAAGCAGTGTATTGAACATGTAATAGGCAAGACAACTCCACAGAGTCCTGGTAAGCTTGTGTTTATGGTCACAAGGGAGTGGGTCCATATTAATGTTTTATTTCTAATTAGTCCTCGATCCATTTTGCTGAGGGTTGTTATTGCTACATTATTTGTATTCTACTCTATATACTATGGGGCGCTGCAAGAAAATTCTGATTGATTGCAAGTTGCTAAATTTGCAACTGATATTTGCCATCGATTGCAACTCAACTATCTTGCAATGCCCGACTTGTCTCCTAAATTTCCTAGGATTGAAGTTTTAACGATTAAATTAAGTTGTCAAGCTTTTATTCTCCCCCCCCCTCTCTCTCTCTCTCTTACTAAAGGGGCATTGCAAGAAAGTTGAGTTGCGATCAATTGCAATTAATCGCACGACGCTTGATTTTGGGGATTTGCAATTGATTGCAACTTTCTTGCAATGCCCCATTAGTTTGATATTATTTCTTTATATACCAGGTATGTGCATTTTTAGTATCAACACAGTATTTGTTCATGGGAGCAAGTCAATAGCATGTTACCCTGTACTCTGTTCAATAAGAACAGGTAGTGTTGGCTAACTGTTATTCAAACTTATTGGTTGATGATCAAAGTAGCAGATCCACCAAACAGGCTTCAATTTTGAATGATCATTGAAGAATATGTTCTTTTACACTTTTCCTTTTATAATAATAATAATAATTATAATAAGAGTTTGTTCTTATATAGTGCTTTTCAGGCCTGCAGGCCCTCTCAAAGCGATGTACTGATATGTATTATTACCCCGGTCATCGGATTCAGGATTACTCGCACACAATGTAAGCATATTCTCCACTCCCTGGGGAGCATTCAAGCCAGACGACAATTTTACAAGCGCACACTTGCTCATCTAACCACATTAACTTTCTCATCCCAAACCATCTCAGATCGTATGGGATCCCCTGACTTCCTGGGTGGTAAGATGATGCGATCCCGTAGCAGCAAGTCCATCCGTAGCAGCTCCTCCTCGGACCAGTCCATCACCTCACCCACAAGCATGGGAGATCTTAGGCGCATCCCCAGCGTGGAGCGATTCTTATCCATCACGTCGTCAAACACAAGCCCAACAGAGGACAGGCTAGGTGAGTGGTTCTTACTCTGACCCCATGACCTCATGACCCCATTGACCCGATGACCTGATGACCCCATAACCCCATCATGTATTATTTCTCAGTGCCATGTTCCTCCCCAAATACACATTTTGGTTTGTGCTGTTGCCCCTTTACAATGCGACTGAATAACTGAACATACACTGTAGGTTATAGATGGTATTTTTCATGTATGAACCATTCATTATCCCTTTGGGAGTGGGGGGGGGGGGGGACATTACCCCCATGTTCTTGTCGATCCCTATTGGCACGAGCCACCCGAAAGATTCATTTACATCCATGTTGTGGATGTTATCAAGGATTTTCGCCATGGCTAAAAATGCATGTACATGTATCTTAACAGCCCCCCCCCAAATGAATGATGCAATAAGTTTTAAATGTAATGATTATTAGCAACCTGTTGAGATTGAACCCATTTGAATACATGTACATATTATGAAATTGAAACCATCTATAATAGTTTGGTACCAAGTTTTGAAATAGTCCTAGGCAAGTTCTTGGAGGATTAGTAATATGTGACTCAGCCACCATATTTTCGTATTCCCCTCTTTGAAGATCTAAAACGTCAAGTTTTAACCCCCATCCGCAGATCCTGGTTTTCCTCGCTACGACAAGCGTGCCAGCCCCAATCCTGGCTGCTCCTCTCCAATGCCCTCCAACCATGTCTTTCGTGCCGTCTCCCGCGACCCCGATTACGCTCCCCGCGGGGCGAACAACGGCACCCCTACGGGCCCCGCAGGTCAGAGGCGGGACAGACGCTCCCAGAAGGTTCAGGCGTTGGAGCGTCTGGAGCAGGCGCGGAACGACAAGCTGCAGAGGGAGTCAATGATAGGGAGGATTAGCGATCAACACACCAGTCATGAGGTGGTCAATATCAACTGTAAGAAGGTCACCTTCAGGTGGCAAAGAGGTTTCAAGATTGGTGAGTTTCTCATCACCCTTGTTTCATAGTCGTACATATTTTAAAATAATTTTTATAAAAGTGTACCAATCACCTCAAAAATCATTTGGGTACAGCTAGAATGTATAAAATAAACATGAACAAAATCTTGTACATTTTAAATTTCATGTACATGTATTTAAAGATTAACTTGAGTTCTGGTAAAAAAAGAAAATGAATTCTCACAGAATCTAACGAAACTTACACTGAATGTTCAAGATTACAAATAAATGTCATGTGCCAAACAATTTTGGAAGAAAATGTATACTGGCAGAGTAATGAGTATAGAAAGATAAGGAAATCAGGGTAGTACTAGCCCCGACACCACGTGTGTTGTCCCATATACATCTTTCTGTGTAAGTGATTGTTACTTTACCAAGACTCTGCCAAATTTATGATGATTTTGATGACTCCAGAACCTTGCATTACACACCATTACTTACATGCTATATGATCAACTTTTCTGATCCATTCCACACCTTTTCTTTCACAATGCAATCGCATTACCAGAACTCAAGTTTATCTTTAAAAGTGGCTCAGAGAGAGGAAAATTATTATTTTATGAAAACATTAGCTTTCATACATGTTTTCTATGATTGTATACTAGACATGTGTCATGTAACAATGTTAGTTAATATGCCACTCAAAGGAAACATGACAAATTGACAATTACTAACTGGACACATTCTGTTATTGGAAATGACATATTAAGTGTGTTTTATTCAAAAGGTGTCTTTGCATGGGATAATGAACAATTTGATGATGTTGTAGAGCTAACAGTTCATATGACTATGCCAATCATATTGGCTAATGACTTGCCTTCCAATTACTTTCTTGTTTTCAAGGCGAGGGTCAGTTTGGAACGACGGTGTACTCCTGCATCAATATGAACACCGGTGAAACACTGGCAGTCAAAGAGGTAACTACCCATCTGCACTAACTTGTGTTTGATTCTTTCCTGCAATGGTACCCATAATGCAATGACATGATGTAAAGTCAGCCCAAAACAAGATAGGCAGCATATATATGAATATAAAAACAAAAATAGATATGTCCAAAATGGTTATCATTAAAATGAGGTTTGTAGATTAATGCAGTATTTTCTATGTACATGTATGAGGCAAACAAATGTAGAAGGAAGTTTACAAAAAAAAAAAGAATTTCAAGCAAATCATTTTTTAAACATTTCAGAGACAAATCCTTTGCTTGAAATTTCAATTCTGTATTTATCCAACGTAATTCAAAAGAGATTAATGCCAACTTCCTCCACAACAGAAGACTTATCAAAATGTAAAATATTCCCCATAACATGATGTCCTTACAAATCTGACTGTTTTGCTCTGAGACAGTTATATACTGCATCTTTTATCTTCTTCTTCTTCTTCTGATTAAGTCTGCCTCCTTCAATTGACTGGAGATTCTTGCAAACTATGTGCCTGTGTGTGTGTTGACCGCAATTTACTTCTATTCAAGTGCTATTTACATTATAATACTTCATCTGCCTAACGTGCCATTGTCCCTTTGTCTGTGCAGATGCGATTCCAGAGGAACGACCATCAGGTAATCCGAGACATTGCGGATGAGATTAAGAACCTTGAAGGCATCCGTCATCCCAACCTGGTCCGTTACTACGGTGTGGAGATACACAGGGTAAGATATCCTCAGTCCCATCTATTTAAATTAGAGGGTGAAACCAAGAGAGGGGTATTACCGGTATGATGTAGTTGTGATAGCCTTTTCAGATCTGAGGATCTTTGTCAACACAACTGGATGATTATGTAGTCACGCATACTATGATACTTGTTTGATTAGGAAAACCTAGGAAAGAGAGGTTCTGGGGCCCGTTTCATAAAGCATTTACTGCAGCGGTAAGTCCCATTTTCAGCAGTAAATTCCAGTTTCTGCGGTAAATTTGGAAGCAGCAGTAACTTTCCGTTTCATAAAACTGTACCAAGTGAAACCTGCCTTAGTTCATCTATTTAAATTAGAGGGTGCAACCAAGAGACAGGTATTATGATATAGTTGTGATAGCCTTTTTCTCCAAACCTGAGGATCTATGACAACAAGACTGGATAATTATGAAGTCCCACAGACCCTGGACTAGGAAAACCTAGGAAAGAGAGGTTCTGAGCGACTGAAACCCTCCTCCATCAGCACTGTGTGTAGACCCCTGTATGAAGGAGACAATTTCATAGTGATAGTTGTTTTTAGGAGATTATCTTCTGCAGTAGTGTCATGGTTATTTCAGTGCGTTTGTGTTTGTGTGATGCTTGTGCCCAGCATAGTCTGTTATGGTTGACATAAACTGTTGGAATTAGTTAAGGATGTGTGTTCTGTAGTCCAGGCATTCTCCAAAAGGAGGTACCTACTGATAAGTCAAGAACATGAGGGCTCACCACTGACATAGGCAGAGCGGTCACAGAGCCCCCTTCCCCTTCCCCTTCCCTCCTGGTCAAACTGGTCCCCCAAATGTCAAAATGTGAACAGAGGCCTAGTGTGCATGGAGACCTTGAAAATTCATTTCAGAGACCAGAGACCTGTTTCACAAAGTCTTTTTTCAATGACAAATTACAGAAACCAGTGACAAATCTGCTGATAACCAATCAGAAGCAAGGATTTCAGTAGCTTATAACCCAAATTGTCATTTGTCACTGATGACAAGTTTTGTGAAACGGGGCCCGGAACAAAAAACAAATGTGTCTGTGAAACCCTGCACTACATGTAAGCTTGTGCTGAAATATATTTATGAGGCTAGTTGTAGCACATTATTGCTGTATAATAGATTTGTTGTACTGTCCACCTGTATGATAAACATTCTAAAACAAAGTTAAAGCAAGTAATGGCTTGGTACCTGAACCAGGTTTTAATTTCATTTATTCTTTTGCTGCTCACAATATCACCAGCACTGCATTAACAATTAGTAGCTTTTTCCACTGCTGAGCAAAGAGGCATACAGCAATGAACCAACACTTGGGAAGACAAGTAGAGAGAGAGAGAGAGAGAGAGCGGTCTAGTATTTCATTTCAATCATTCAATTAAGATCATGTTCAAAATGTATCATTTCCTTCAATATTTGAATTATTAATTTTCATTTTTTAACCGGAGGGTAGATTGATATTTAGTATCACCCTTAACATGTTTTCCTCAGGAAATTAGACAAATGTAGATGCATGAGCTTTTTGTTTTAGGATGTTTAATTTGTGTTAATTATTTGAATTGATAAAAAATCAGTCAATGAAGTTTTGATAATGCCCACATCTTTTGCAGTGTCCACCAAATCGCCTGGATTGGAGTCAATATGTAAGACATTGCCCAAAGAAGCCATGTATTAGACTCTTGATGCATATCATTCATTTAAAAGATAAAATCTCACTGAATAATTCTGCATGCTGCCAGGAAATGAGCATGGCATGATGTTCGAATAAAGATGAAAGTTTTATTTTATTTTTTATTTTTTACAAATATGGAATGAAAGTATTATTTTCAATTTTTTTCCATTAAAATGAAAGTGATGAAGCTATTTTCATACAACTTCCTTTTTGAATTTTTTCTTCTTCTTCACCTTTAAGGATTATCATTAATTTACCAAGAATACAAAATATATCACGTCTTTGTATGAAAATATTGTATGCACGTCTTGAATGAAGAGAAACACAAATACATCTTCTACACTTTTATGCCTTGACCAGGTATAGAACACAGCAGTTTGTGCATACTTGCCTGACTAACATACTAATGAATACTAGAGCTCCCAAGTTTCTCTAACTTTTAAGCAGTCGTTAGGCATTTTCCAGTTATGTCAACTTTAATAGATACCGTAATTAACGGTGTATAAACGTCACCTTTTGCCGCCGAAAAAAAATCAAAGTCGGGGAGTGCGGTTTATACACGGTACACAAAAAAAAAAAAAAAAAAAATTAATAAGTTTCGATTTATTCCCCTTCACCTGGCGATATGCCTGGCAATGTCTCCCAGCTCAGTTATCGGTGTGTTGAATCACCACTCGGAAACTAGAACAACACTCAAATTTGTCTGTCATCTTGGTTTGCAAGTAATCTTTCAGATAGATCTCAATATGTAGTTTATAATAATAATTCCTCCAATTTTTCTTCAATTACAAGGCATTCCTCGCAGTTAAATGAAAGGCCTTCCAGCGTTGGTTTTTCTAACACGGACCTGGCTTGCTGGCGACAGAGTCGGCAAAAAAAAAAATAAGGGCGAAAAAGAGGGGTGCGCTTAATACACGAGGGCGGTTTATACACCGTTAATTACGGTAGTTGCACAAATTACATCACACGCAGACAAGATTTAATATATGTATGTCTATCAAATTGTCGATGAAAGAGGACATGCAAATGTATAGCTAGGGAAGAAGCAAGGTCTTCTGGCAGTATTCCTGCAACCTAGTGCAGACTCGCCCTAACCATACTAGAAATAGGTTCAAGTGAATTCATTTTAATATTGCTTTAATTAATATGATAATGAAATATGCATGAGTGCATGGAAGGTAATCCATTGGGAGCACTTTAGCAGAAGGTATGTACTGAATGCACGTCTACATTGAACTAGCGCTATAAAAAAAGATATGAGACTTAGTATAGAGTAGATCACAGTGTATGTATCCAGTATGTAGCAAATTACATAAGTGTATACAGTTATGCATAGAAGTACTGTACTGTGAAGTTACACATGAAGACAGGAATAAACCAGATTATTACATGTGATAATCGAATGCAAGGTAGACAGTGCTATTCTTTGTTAACAAAATAATAAATACAAACACATTACAATTCCAGTCTTATAACCCTAGACAAAAATATGCTTTTATACAAGTATGTTCCTCTGTTTAATAGTATTCTACATATAATTATAGGAATATTCTGTTTATACCATAGGCAGGCATGCAAAGGATCTTGAATACTACATTGCCAGTACTATAGGTCTAACAGTTATCCTGTCAATATACTTATTCTAATGATTGTACCTTCTGCATTATACATATTTATTACTTATTTCTATGTGTGTTTATCTTCTATCTGCTCATTTATTCTCTCTGTCTTATTTCTTCCTCTTTCTCTATGCCACCTTATATCCTCTCCAAATATATTTCCGCTTCCTCTTTTCTGTATCACCCGACATCATCTCCAACCATTTCCTCCTCCTTGTTCTTTCTCTCTCTCTATGCCTCGTCTCATTATATTATTCTGATCTCTTCCTTCCCCGTCTCCTCTCATTTATTGTATTCTCTCTGTTTCCCTCCCTCCCTCCCTCCCTCCCTCCCTCCCTCCCTCCCTCCCTCCCTACCTCCCTCCCTCCCTCCCCTCCCTCCCTCTCTCTCCCCCCTCTCTCTCTCCCTCCCTCCCCCTCTCTCTATCTTCCTCCCTCCCTCTCTCTCTCTCCCTCCCTCCCCCTCTCTCTATCTTCCTCCCTCCCTCTCTCTCTCTCTCTCTCTCATATTTCCTTTATTGTTTTCATCCTCTGACCTTCTCTCCAACCTCTTCTCTACTCTCACTGATGCCTCGTACAGGAAGAGCTATTGATCTTCATGGAGTACTGCGACGGCGGGACCATAGCGGAGGTGGCCAAGACCGGTCTACCGGAGGAGATGATTAGACAGTATACCAGAGAGGTTACCAAGGCGATTTGTGTCCTCCATGATCACAACATCATCCATAGAGATATCAAAGGTAGGTAAAGTGTGTGAGTGTGTGAGTGAGAGGGAGGGAGGGAGGGAGGGAGGGAGGGAGGGAGGGAGGGAGGGAGGGAGGGGGAGGGAGGGAGGGAGGGAGGGAGGGAGAGAGGGAGGGGGGATGGAGGGAGGGAGAGAGAGAGATAGAGAGAGAGAGAGAAGGAGAACTATTTTAAAACTATTGTAGAACTAGATAGAACTAGAATTAGAACTGGAACTTGGAGTAGAACTAGAAGTAGATCTGCAAATAGAAGTAGACGTGTTAGTAGAACTAGAAGTAGAATTACAATTAGTCTAGATCAAGAATTAGAACAAGAACAAGAACTAGAAGACGATCTAGAGGTAGAACTAGACGAGGATCAATATTCAATCAATTTTTATAAAAGATATTCAATCAATGCATTCTATCCCTTCATCCCTCCCATCATGTAGGAGCTAACATCTTCCTGCTTTCTGATGGTCATGTGAAGCTAGGAGACTTTGGAGCTGCTATCAAACTCAAGACGCACAGCACCATGCATGGTGAAGTCAATACCACCATGGGAACGGCTGGTAGGTATCTTTTACTTCTTTGTTGCCACGCCCCTGCCCACTCATTCATACAGCAGTGTCAAGGTGTCTTGGTCTAGTGGAAACGTCACTAGACTGTCGATCACAGGGTTCACAGTTTGAGTCCCGCTGTGGCACAAACGTCCTTTGGCAAGGCATTAATCTACATATGCCACTCTCCACCCAGGTGAAGTAAATGGGTATCCAGTAGGGAGAAATGTCAAGGTGTCGTGGTCCAGTGGAAACATCATTGGAACCGTGGATCAAGCGGTTCTCAGTTCCAGTCCCGCTGCGACATTATTGTACTTTAGCAAGACATTAATCTAAATTTGCCACTCTCCACCCAGGTGAAGTAAATGAGTACCCAGTCAAAAGAAATTCCTTGAATGCTTTAGCGCCATATCATGGCAACTCAGCTACAGCTGTGGTAATAATATGATACTTTGTATTAAGGGCAATATAAATGTCTGTATTATTATTATTATTATCGCCATAACCTTGTAATGGTGTTTGAGTTATGTATCACTAATTGGCCTTTCGTTTTATGAAAAGTTTGAGTTGATTTGAATCGATTGCAACTCAAGTTCGATTTGATACCACTCTCAATCATGTAAGAGATTGATTGTTGTATCTCCATACTTGATTTGGTAACTTGCAATTGAATTGACTCAATCGCAACTTTTTGTAAGATTGTAATATATGGGGGGTGTTTCACAAAGATCCTTAGTCTAACTTAACTCTAAGTTGGACTTAATTATGGAGAGCCTTTTGTAGCCTTAAAGGTACTATGTCCCATTTGCAGGCCAAAACAATGAAAAGGTTAAATTCTAACGGCATTTGAAAGATGATACTAATTTAGAACTTCCCTAAAAAAGGTGGGGCTTGAAAATGTCTTTGAAAAAGTGGGAATATAACGACTATTAGTTGTCAAATCGATTTAAGGGCTATAGAGCCAATAAGTAATAGTCTTGAATTTCAGAGCATTGTACCGAATGGTCATACGTTTTATGCTGCGCAAAGATTCAATCACTTTAATTTTGGCCATCACAAGACGTGGGTTATTGATGTAGACAAATGCTCATGTACCCTTTACAGCTCATTTTATGTACTGTATGTTATTACCAAAGAAGAAAAAAAAGCCAGTCAGTCACTCAATAGTGTCTGACAGTGAAGTCTAGCAAGTATATGGATTTCCTTGCATAATTTGAATATTAGGACACTGCTAACGTTCAAATTTCACAGATAGGACATACATGACATATTCATAATTCTTGCAAAGTTCTACAGAATTTGAGGTTGGCTGCAAAAGGGACATAATACCTTTAAAGTATAAAAAAATGAAAAGGAAAAATTCAGGTATTTTAGATTTTTCATAAATTCCTCATCAAGAACATGAAATCTCCTTGATAATAGAAAATATGAATGATTTGAATCAACATTTTATGCCTTACAAAATATATTCAAAGATGCTATCGGCTTTCCATAATTGTTAAGTCCAACTTAGAGATAAGTTCAATCTTTGTGAAACACCCTCCTGGTCCCATGTTTTACCAATAATCATCATATGTTCTTTGTTTTCTCCATGTTAGCTTACATGGCTCCAGAGGTGATCAACCAGACAGGGAAAGATAAGCCTGGCTATGGCAGGCAAGCTGATATCTGGAGTCTGGGATGTGTCGTCATTGAGATGGTTACGGGCAAGGTAAACAGATAGAGTGGTACAGTTAAACTTGTCTATAGCAGCCACCGTAGGGAAATACAAAAAGTATTCCTTGTAGACAGGTTCTTTTACAGAGGTGCCAACCAGTACGATTTAATCATATTTAGTACGATAATAAGAGTGGAATACGATAATACGATATCACCTCTTAAAATATGATTTTTCAAAAAAAAAAAAAATAAATAATTTAAATACCCATAAAAACATGAACAAGTAAACCCCCGCAGCCCCAACAAAAATTTTGCTTTACATTCTTCTTCTGAAATTTGAATGAAAGAGCAAACATTTTTCTTGACTGAACGTACCAGTATCACATTTTTCTGAAATTTTACTGGCCCGGGGCCAACTGGCCATTGGTAGTGTCGAGTTTTCGTGAAAATCTGATTTTTAAGGATACTCGGTCTGTTTTTTTGTGTCAAGAGGTTGAGAATGAGAAACCATTTTCAATGGAAACAAAAACTGTGGCATGTGTATACAGGTGGTCACTAAAGCAGGTTTGACTGTAGTCATATGTTGTTTGTATTGTTAATGAATGCATACTTACGTTGGGTCTGGGGCCGTGCCCCAATGGAATGGAATTTGCATAGGCAGCTCGTACAGGTGTTCAAGCTAATTCTGCCACGGAGACCAGGGCGTGGCATCAATTAGTGTGTAATTCAATCATTCTAGTCGTTGTCGGGCTATCCCACAATAATCGAAGGGGATTGTGTTATTTGTTTGTATTGGGAGTCAAGAGGGATATCAGACAAAATAATATGTGAAGTTATAGGACAGACCAGTACATCGATTGAGGCACATCTGGGACTCTTCATGACAAAAACATAGCCATAAGTTTTAAGCTTTAATAATGTATTTGAAAGGCAGGATCATTTTAAGAGCAATATTTCATATACAGTCAAACCTCTCTATAGAGGCCACCTGTCTGTAGTGATCACCTAGATTGTCTCCCTCTAGGAAGAAACATGTGTTGTAGAACCTGTCTAGAAAGGCCACCTGTCTACAGTGGCTGCTTTCTCCTTGTTTCCATTAGGTGACCTTAATAGACAGGTTTGACTGTGTTACATTTTGTCTGTTTGGAGCCAGAAGGGCGTTAACTCATGTTTTTAACACAGAGTAAATGCTCTTCTCGCTCTGGACGGACTATTTAAATGATGTTCTTTCATGAGGGAATAAAACAGATCAGGGCCCCATTGCACAAACTTACTGTACCATTGATTGTAACTTTGCCATCAATGGTATTCTACAAGGGAAACCTTGATTTTGATTGGCTGTTGAGCCCTGTTACCATGGTAGTTACCATTGAGAGCAAAGTTACCATCAATGGTAAGGTTTATGCAACTGGTCCCAGAGGTAGTTTGCAAATTATTTTTATGCCTCCGCCACCGAAGGTGGTGCCGGAGGCATCATGTTTTCGGGTTGTCCGTCCGTACGTCCGTCCGTCCGTCCGTACGTCCGTCCCGTTTGACCGTTATCACAATATCTCAAGAACCATTTAAGATTTAAACTTAAGACTCGGGAATAGTATTTATCACCATAGGAAGACGATCTGATTAGATTTTGGAGTACGTAGGTCAAAGGTCACAGGTCACAGAGGTCAACTTATGAAATTCCTTGTATTGAGTTTGTTAGCGCGATATCTCAAGAACCATTTGAGATTTAAACTTCAAACTTAAGGATAGTATGTATCACCATAGGAAGACGATCTGATTAGATTTTGGAGCACGTATGTCAAAGGTCAAGGGTCACAGAGGTCAACTTATGAAATTCCATACATTGAGATTGTTATCATGATATCTCAAGAACCACTGGAGATTTAAACTTCAAACTTAGTGATAGTGTGTATCACTATAGGAAAACAATCTGATTAGATTTTGGAGCACGTAGGTCAAAGGTCAAGGGTCACAGAGGTCAACTTATGAAATTCCATACATTGAGATTGTTATCATGATATCTCAAGAACCACTGGAGATGTAAAAACTTCAAACTTAATGATAGTGTGTATCACCATAGGAAGACAATCTGATTAGATTTTGGAGCACGTAGGTCAAAGGTCAAAGGCCACAGCGCACATTATGAATGCAAAAACAGCTTGTGATCACGTTATCTCAAGAACCGATTGATGGATTCATGCCAAAATTAGGTCATGTTTGTTACTTGCAGAGCCAATGAACTGAGTAGATTTTTGGTTCATAAGGTCAAAGGTCAAAGGTCATGGGCCCATTATGTATGCAAAAATAGCTTGTGAACGAATTCTCATTAGAACTGACAGATGGATTACTATTTAACTCAGAACATCTTGCAGAGCCAATGAACTGAGTAGATTTTATGGTCATGGGGTCAAAGATCAAAGGGTCATATATGTATATGAGAAATTGCTTGTAATCACAATATTCTGAGAACCTGTCAATGGATTACCATTGAACGTGAATTCAATTTTTTTTTTCTGTTTTGGTTTGTAAAATTGCTCTATAACGGAGGCATCATTTTCGACTGCGCGCAGTCGAATTCCATCTAGTTTCTTTTTCATATTTATTAGTACTCATCTTCCCCTTCATTAATAATCAAGGGTATGATTTCTATCTGTAGGCAGAGAATCATTTGTCTCCTTTTCATGATTCTCTATTTCAAAATCTTTTGGCAAGACTACACCCCTGAGTTCACTGTCATATATACAAGTCAAGAAATATTTATAACTTATATCTATCTCTGTCATGATTACTCTCCTCTTGCTTTCAAGCAATTGCACCTATTTTCCATAAGGGGACTATCTCGACAAGACCACCTTACACTTTTATGGTACTCTTAATTCCATGTATAATGATTTGCATCTGCTCTGAATTTCTGATTTGTATATGTGTATGCTTTTACTGGAAGAAAGAAAATTGAACTTGAACCTGAATTTATATTTTTATGTACTGGACGAAAATATAAATCTATCAATTTGTCATTATTCCCCTATTCCAGAGACCATGGCATGACTACGACCACGAGTTCACTATCATGTACAAGGTGGGCGAGGGAGCTGTTCCACACATACCGGACGCAATGAATCCCGAGGGGAAGGAGTTCCTGTCCAATTGTCTGAAGCACGACTGTACCAAACGTTGGACGGCCAACAAACTACTGGACCACCCGTTTCTTAAGGTAAAATATGTGTAAAATAAAACTTGAAACATGAAGTGGTAAAACACTTTAGAAAGTAATAAGTAAATAAATGAACTGCTATGGCACAGTAAATTTACCTTAGTCTATTGTTCATCACAAGCCCTTATACTAAAACATGCAGATCAGTCATTAGGCATATTGGCTTTGAAAAAAATGTAATTTTGCAGCTGCAGTGTTTTTGTTTTTGTTTGATGGTTTAATACATTTCAAAAGAAAACTTTAAGAGTGAAAATGTAACACATGTGCCAGCATTTGACAAGTATGATAAGTTTCCATCCCCCTTTTGAAACACTTCATTCCTAAAGAGTTGCGATTGATCCAAATCGATCGCAAGTCCTCTTATCAATCGCAAGTTGGCAGTTCCCTATCTCTTATATACGTAGCGATTGATATCGATTGCAAATATGTTGTGATTAATATCAACTCTTTATAAGATGGGGCTCAAGTATTACAGGATTTTCTGCAATTTGTTTACATGTAGATTTCAGTCCTGTGTATTATTCATTTGTTTATCAATGAGAGAAACACAGAAGTTAATTTAAGCTTCACAGTTTAATTCATTTTATCCTTATCTTCCTTGTACAGGTCGCTGGTGACATTATCGAAGAAGAGACTGAACACTAGCAAGCCACACCCTTCATCCTCATCCAGAGTTAAACATTATTAGGAGGCACAGATACCGGTAGTAGCAACAATTGGTTTGAATTCTAAGTTAATGCTAATGACTGAGGAGGGAAGGGATGAAGAGAGAAGGTGAGACTAGTTATGAGATTTCATAAGTATTTGTTAACTGTGTGAGGAAGGATCCTTGAAGAATTGCACCAATATCTGTGTATTTTGAAGGTTTCATATGCAATTTACATTGCTTCTTCAAAAAGCATGGAATAAAGAGAAAAGACGAGACTGGTAAACATATTTCATAAGTAGTGTTTTTATGTATGTTAGGGAAGTATCCTAGAAGAATTGTTGACAATCTGTGTTTTGTTTAAAAATGTAATGTGCAATACAATATAAGAGTCCATGTTTTACGCCATCGAGAATTAAGATATAAGAGAACCCCATGAAGGCTTGAAATCTGATTACTCTGAATTAATACAAAATAATGAGTCATGTGCACTAAATTTGTTGGTGTTTGGATTTTTACATGTACAGTGGTGAATGTAGCCATTTCAGAACAGTTGTGCCAAATATCTGTTCATTTTAATGTATGAAAAGTAGTTGATGTTAAATTTAAAGGAATGTTCATATCACATTTACAAGTTAGCCTTATCTAAAGAAAAAATTCAAGCTACTTTTAGCATAATTGTACATTGTAGAGATTGTAAAACTGTTTACAACCATCACGATCAAACCTTGCTTTGTAAAATATTATTAAACAAGGGTGCTTTGTACATTGCCATTCTCTTTACTTGATTATGTGGGAGACCTGTATAATTCTAGACCTAAGGTATGAAATAGCATCTCTTCTTTCTCCTTTTAAAGTAGTTCTGTGAGTAGAATTGAAACTTCCATTAACCCCTCCTAAAAAACGTTTTTTTTTTCTTTTGTTCCCAGAATTCCTTTTTGTGTAAATTCAAGGAAAAGAGTTATGTATTTTTAATTGTAAAAGATTTATTTTTCTATAAGCAATTTTTTACAGACTTAAGATCAACATAGAAATAACTAGGTACTTAAAACCGGTCAATTGTTGAATATTTTGATATTCTAATTATTAAGCTAAAACTGAATTAGGTGTTTTGTATTTACTGAAATCAAATGCTTGTAAAATGATCCCTCTTTAAAAGGAAGTTAATTACCAGGATTGAGAAAGTGATCTTGAAGTTGGAGTATTATGGCACTGTAAATATGTGACAACATAATGCGGAACATACATGCATGTAGCACACAATCAGTATTATTAGTACATTTGTATCACAGAACAAGGGTTTGATTCAAAATTATACAAGGTAAAGATCAAGTTCTTGGACTGAAAAGGCTTAGAGAATAATTTCATTTGTCTGGAGCCAGTAGGGCATTTACTCTGTAAAATGATGAATTAACACCCTCCTGGCTTTCAAACAAATAATACCATGTTCACTACCACATTAACAGTAGATATATATCCATGGAATCCCCCCCAAAAAATTGAAATTGACAATGGAAGATGTTTGATAATGCATTATTGTGAGTGTGAATATGACTCTGTAAGTCATTTTTGTGAATGTTCATGTATCAGTAGTCACTGTGTGTTTATAAACACACTAGTCCACAATGTGAATTGAATATAAATTTACTATTAAATGTTCTTTCACTACTATTGTATGATGTAGGATAAAGAAGCTACTTTTGAAATAGATATATCCGATAGACCGGTTTATTAACATTCTCAAATTTATGGATGTTTCTTTCCTGGGGACCTAGTGACGAGGTATTCCATTAACTTTTATTAATGAGTGAACTACAGTGCTTGCAATCCAATCTGCATACATTATTTGTTACTATGTCAGGCAAGTCTCAGGCAAACTGTGAGGTTGTCAAGAACAACATTTGTTTACAAAGTATGCATGAACTTTGGATATGATAGCAAACCGGTCTATTCCGGATTTAAGTTGCTGCCTTAATGACAATCATATCAGTTGACAATCATATCAGTCTACATGATCCAAATTAGCCCCAAGTGCAAAGTGCAAAGTTTAATGACCCTAATAGAAACAAACCAGTCTGGACAACTAGTTATGGTATGGCAAGATTTGGTTGCATGAAGACTGAGGACTTGATAATAATGTGGAATTGTAATAGGCGATTTCTTTAATGTATTCAATTTGGAATTTAGTGTTTCTTCTCAACAGAATGGTCATGTTTGAGCTACAAATTACCTCAAAAAGTGTATGCTTGTTGGGTGTTGCAGAGAGAAATTGAATTGAATTCTGAATTTTTGAGCTTGTAAGCATTAAGATTCATGATGAATATTTACCTACATGTATTTATGCAAGAAAAAAATATGCATGTGTATACAGTGCGTCCCAGAATAACAAAACCTGAAAACAAACATTTATTGGTCTGTTTTTCTTCTTCTTAGATGCACTGTATATATGCTATTGTGCTTCTGTCATTACACCTATCAAAAACAGCTTGTAGTATTTAGTGTAATGTCTGCCTGGCTGGAATGCTCCCCAGGGAGTGGAGAATGTGCATATTTTGTGTGAGGGCAAGCCTGAATCCGATGACCGGGATAATATATCTGTAAAGCGCTTACAGACATCATCGATGTATTAAGCGCTATATAAAAACGGAATATTATTATTATTAGACACTACATTATTTTAATCTATATGGCACTTAACGTATTTGAAATTGCATTAATCTCTTCAGCTGCCCAAGAAAATTGTGTTTTGGCAATGACTGTTTCAAATGTCATCACTGTTGCTGTACAAGTATTTGATGATTTGATCGTCGGTACAAACACAAAACCATTATGCCACTCTGTGCCTCTTTACTGCCCTGTTTCAGCTAGATAAGAACATTTGGAAAGAATGTGAATGTTTTAAACTTTTGCCACTAAAATTGTCTGCCTTCAATAAAAAAAATGAATTTATGTTTTATGAGGTTGAAGACAGAAATGCTCTCAAAATTTGTGAGATAAACTTTGATAAACTGTAAGGATGCTCATTAATAGCATTTTTTCATATTTGATTACTTACACATCTGACACATGCTGCCTTCAAAGAAATTAAACTGAGCTGCAAAAGAGAAGTGAACTGTGCTTCTTACAAAATTGTTTAGCACAGCAGAATGTACAATATGTAAGAAGAAGTTGGGAGCTACATACTACATATTTGTTTGCATTGTTTGAGAGTATACGGCACAGAGATTTATTTCACTAAGTAAGCAAAGTGAGTGAATACTGTACACAATTTGTATATTACTTGTATCATATAAAACTTGATGAACCATCTTGACCTTTGAACCTAGTATCATATAACCTGTCTTAGTGGCCACCTCTCTACAAAGGCCACCTGTCTATAGTGGCCATGTATCTTGTCTCCCTCGAGAATGAACTGTGTGTTGTAGAACCTGTCTAGAAAGGCCACTCGTCTACAGTGGCCACTTTTTCTTTTTTGCACTGGTGGCCTTAATAATAGAAACACTTGACTGTATTTACACATTTCTTGTATTTATCAATATTAAACACACATTGATGTCACTTGTGGCCTGTATGAAAATATGAAAATCAAATCAAATGTCTGTAAAATAAACAGTATCCATGTATCTTGTATCGAACATGTACAGGAGGTGTATATGACATGTATATAAACATTTTATGCACAAAGCTACAGCGTTTTATGTGAACTAGGAGATCAATGTTTTCTGCAACACTAATGGTAAACATTATGTCTACACTATCATATGAGAGACAGGAGGACGTCAACCCTGTGTTCAAGGATATGAGTTAACTGTAATAATGTCCTTCTGTCTCTAAGCAGGTGACCTGGGCCATGTTTCATGAAACCTGTTCAATAACAAGTCACAAGACAACTGTTGTAAGCTACTGAAATCGTGGCATTTGATTGGCTAAGAGCAAATTTGTCATGATATTTAGCTTCTTTTTTTAAATTTTGTTATCGATAACAAGTTTTATGAAACAGGGCCCTAGCTGGTACTACTGCAGAAAGCTATTTACAGTACACATATTTATCATAGATGTTTGGTATCTTTAATGGAGACGCAATGTGACTAGTACGATGTACATGTGTCAACGGGGCATTTTATTCTACTACCAGTGATGTGATGTTTTCACTTCTTAACGTGTTTGAATGAGTGAATGAGTAAATGTATGTACCGGTAATGCAAAATGGAGTTTTCACGTAATATACATACACCGTTTATGTATAGTACAGAGACAATAATAGATTATATATTTATGTATAACTATATTCACCTGTGTGATAACTTCTAGCTTTATTTTCTGACCTCATTCATTTGACAGGTCGTGTTTGCGTTATGATCATAAAAAATAAACAGTATTATCACCAGAATAATGTGTGGTTTATATGCAAAGGATAATGATACTGTAGAGTGTAGAACTAGGCAGTGCATGTACAGTAATACCACTTGTTTGGAATTTTCCTATGAAAATTGATCTTGATAATGAAGGAATTCTTTCCATCATCATTCTTCTGTGCATCCTTTTCCTTTTTTTTCATGCTTCCTCGCTCAAACTCAGCTGAAAATCTTGTTCATTTATCTTGTCATGAAATCTTTAAAATGTATGTCCATGTACAACCTGGATTGAATATTATTGGAGAGCTGTGGCTAGATTTATAAATGTATCAAGTATGCTTGAAAAGTCTTGATATTACTAATTCAACAAATAAGACTATACAAGCTATCTTTCTTCTTTTTCTTAGAAAATTATACACTTTGTGAAAAAGAAGGAAAAACCCTGTTAAAAAGATCTTGACTTTCACCACCTGTATGTGAATACGCCCCAGAAATTATTTTTTGAATGAAAGCATGAAATAATGTTCATATTCCCAGTTTTCCAGACATAATGTTGCTTCTTAATGAAAATGAAATGCTGCTGCTCAATAGAAATAGAAATAGTCTCTATTTTATTAAAAATGCTTCCAACTTTCTTTGAAATTGTCATTGTCTTCATCACTTTTTGCAATTCATCTTCTGTGTATTATAAAGCGAGATGATAAGGCCTTCACTGTATAAAATTTGTGATTAAAATAAGTTTCAACTGTCAAATCGCGACTCTTTACGATTGCCCTTACATGTACCGGTATATGTTTATGTGTAATGCTCTTGCTGTGTGGTACGGTGTAGTAATCATCATATTATGTACGATTTGTCATGATTGAAAACAAAATACAGGTTTTCAAAGTTTAATGACCTTTCTTTGAGGAAATTCTCTGGTATATCTGGTAGAGTATCAACTAAGTGTATTAGTGCAAGTTTGTGAGGTGATATTTTTTGAAAAAAATGTTCTAGAATCGAATTTAGGTCACAACCTGATTTGCATTTTTAAATGACAACGACACTTATCACTAAACGAAAGACACGTAACAAAAGAATGTAAGTCACTTTGTTATGGCTAATACTCGCTGGAGGGGTATGCCTTTTGCTGGTCGTTCGATATTCATGATCATATGTCTTTTATTTGTTGACACGACTCTCATTGTATTCTAATAGACTTGTTACTGCTGATAAGCTGAGTGTTAATAAACACAATCACAAAATCTCTACAAATATGGGGTAGAGACCATGTCTGAGGAATGTAAGGGGTAGGGGTAAAGGAAGACTTAATTGAAACCTTGGATAATACAAATCAAGTAGATTCTGCAATATGGAAATATGTGTTCATTGCGACCATGTTTTAGGGTTGAAATAACATCCACCAGAAGATCCATATATCCAACTCATTAAACAAAATGAACCACCTTTCATTGTAGACTCTTGAGATATTTAGTCTCATGTTTACAGGTGTTTTGGGGCCCCACCCCCTACCACCACCCACCTCATTTCAACCCCCTCCCACCTCCCCATTCCTTACTGCTACCCAATCCCACCTCCTGCCAACACCCTACCCCCTATTACCCATACCATCTTTCTACTACCACATCGCCCACCTCCTACCATCACCCCACCCCTTCTCTACCACCCCCTACCACCACTCCACCCACCCCCTACCATCACCCACAACCCTTCACCACCCCATTCCTGTGCTCTTCTCACCCCTTTGGCCTATAGTAATCTTCAAGGTCAAGGAGAGCAGCACTTACAGAGGACTGATACAATAAAATTTGATCTGAGCCACTTCAAGGCTGATGCCAAATGAGTATTATTGGTGATTAATGGCAGATTGTTATCAAAATGAATGTTTACATTTCAAGCATGATGAACATCTGTTGATTATGAAGTGTGTACAGAGTAGTAAAAAGAGCTTCTTATTTTTGCTATCTCTTTTTAAGTGTGATCGATAGATCATGTGTGGATGTAATGAATAGGACGGTTTTTGATTGCCAATATTGCATAATTTTATTCCTCAGATCAAATGTATTTGATTACCTTTGTCACAGGTCTGTTTAAAAAAGGAAAGGTAATACTTCTGTTTTGTTTGAACAGTGTTTAACTTGTCATTTTGATCAAGACAAGAAAGTTATTGACTGGTTAGGTCTAACGTATGTATTGTAGTGTGAGTTCAAGGTGTCAAGAACAATTATTATGAGAATTCAGCCATACACATACATGTACATGTATACAAGTAGACCTAGAAAGGCACATTTGTCTTTCATCAAGACTATTTTTTCCGCTTCAGATGAACATTGTATACCTCAGCTTGGCTAAAAAAGTTCTGGCCTTCACAGCAATTCAGAGTTTGATATTTGTAAAATAGCAATCATTAACAATGTTGTTTATGTATATATTTGTATCTATATTGAACATTTCATTGTTTTGTGAATGCAACATATAAATGAATAGTTTTAATACACTGAATGTAAAGTTACTTATTTCAATTGAGATATATTTCTGTCTATTTGCATGACACTAGAACTGTCCTTTATTTTTGCCACAAGATATATATCTGCCTTAAACTTCTTATTTTCTTTGTGATTGTGATGTGAATTTGAAAAGGGTTGTTTGCAAAAGGAGCGTAGTATGTCATGTGAGTGATCCATAATAAGATGCTTTATATGTATGTAACTATGTATGTGTACATCCATGTACGTAAGTGTACATGCACATGTGTCACATGTGATATAAATTCATTGTTACAATTTGTTTATTGCATAATCATTATCTTGTATGCATCATTATAATCACAAAGAGGAGATTTAATGCTAATTATAACGCTTCAATATCTGGTACATCATGTAGCACAATGGTACATATTGAATGTTCACATTTAATTGAGCTCACATTCTACATGCTGAATTCTAAGTACTGGGCTATTTCACAATGCTTGTCCTAAAGATTTTTTTTCTTCTTCAAAAATGTCTTTAAAAAGGTCCTTCTTAGAGATATATTCAATGCTAATGTGTTAATTTTAACATTTGTTAGTTAAAATGCTTTTATGAAATGCCTCCTTTTTTGTTGGGGGGGGGGGGGGGGGGGGGGCAAATTTTGGAAGGAAGTATGATGTGTGAAAATGAAAATTTAGTGTCAGCTCATAATGAAAAGCTGAATTTAGAGTGATGTTGATGCCGTTATCTAGTAACAAGTTCTAAAATAAATATGTACATTGTCATATTGTAGTGAATAGAAATACAAAAATTAACTGCCAAATTTGATTTATGGTCAACAATGTCTTTAAGAAACCATTACAGACTTAAAAATGCCAAGGTTTGATGCAATAAATCATAATTTTGGGGCTGTAATTTGAACTGTAATCTGTGGTTTGCCACATTTCTGTATTAAGTATATTAACAGTATGGTATGCCAATCCTTTACATTTTGTCCATTATTTCATGTAAAATGTGTATCAAACTTTGATCTATGTTGCTTCATATTAATCCATTCTGTCATTGCAATAGGCAGGGCAGCCATATTCATCCTGCTTATATCAAATAAAATTTTGGGCTGGAGGTGCGAAAACAGTAGCATTTAGGACCTCATCTTTTGATTTTGTTTTGCAACTTTTATCTGTATATTTTGTTCAGTTCGACTGCATCTTTTATGTACAAGATGCATATTATGCATATTTGCAGTAATGCAATTATATTCTGTTGAAGTTACTGTACAATACTGTCGTACATTGACCGGTATTGATATGTTTGAGTGCTCATCATATGTAAACAACCATGCTGTATTGTACAACTGTAGCTCTTACACCAAAAACCTTTGTGTAATGTGATATGTTGTAAATTTTGCTTGTTTTAAGAATTCTATGGACAGGACTATCTAGCCGTCATGTCTTAGGAGTAATTAAGATTGAAGATAATACGATTGGTTATCATGTCTATGACTTCTGCATTATTGTTTACTGTTATGCTGCCCGGCCACCGAGCGGCGGCCGCCCAGGCACCGCTGAAGTTTTAGCGCGGAGTTAAAATTATTTGGGCGGCGCCTGCTCACTTTTCACTCGCCGCCCAAAATATGCTCGGTGCCTGGGTGGTCGCCGCCCGGGCACCGACCTAATCGCTGGGCAATGCCTAAATTCCAGCAGCGACCGAGCAGGCTACTGATCGGTCGGTCGCTGCTCTGATTTGTGACCATAGCTTTACTCAATGATTATTTACAATTTACTCACATGCAGTTGTTTTTCAGTTGCTTCTCATTAGATCTTTTATTTCACTGATGCCATTATGTTGTAGATAATATTGGTTTTAAATTCAGTATATTTTCAAATCTAGTTTTGATTATTATTGTTTGTGGTATTTTGCTGGCTAAAATACACTCCTCTTGCAATTTAAAGTCATCTGCCTTGTCTGGCTGTATTTTTCTTAATGTTACATATAATCGTAATTACTAGAAGAGAGAGAGAGAGAAGTTGATAGAGAATAAGAGAGAAAAGAGAGAATAGAGGGTAGAGGAAATAAAAGAGTGATGGAGGGTTAGAGAAGAGAAAGAAAGAGGAAGAAAGAGGAAGAAAGAGGAAGAAGGAGAAAGTAAGACAGAAGGGGGGAAAGAGAGACAGAAGGGGAGGGTGGGCATAGTAAAAAGGAGATACAAGGAAATGTACAACAATATAGTGAAATCATTCCAAGGGTATTCAATATTTCAACAATTTAATTGTGAATAGCATTTTCATTTATGAAATGAAAGCCATAGAATTTCTCTTTGTCACAATTATATTCAACACTTCCAGTACATGTATAAAAAAGCCACCACTCCTCATCCAAATTTAGCCACCAAATAAGATTGCTAAATCAGGTGGAATTATACTGAAAGTTGGTTATTGCTTCATAAAACATTTGGATATTGCATAAAGTACAAAAGATACAAGTAGCTAAAATGATTAATGACATAATTAGGTGAAAAAAAAACACATAAAAATGAGGCGATCCCATGAAGAGAAAGTACATAAAAGCAAGGGTGAAACAATTGTGGCCAGGATCCTGAAGAAACATGGATCAGTCCGATAAAATTAATATCACACTAACAAAAAGATCCTCGGGATGTATGGGAATGAAGAAAAACAGAAAAGAGACAAAAGAAACAAAACACTGAACTAAAATATCATTTTTGTATGCATGGTCCTGTACAGTACCAGGACCCTGTTGCATAAAACTTTACATCGATGGTAACTTCACGATTAATGGTAACTTCCATGGAAACCTTAAATAAATTGACTTTTGAGTGACGTTGCCATGGTAGTTACCGTTAATAGTTACCATGGATGGTAAGTTTCATGTAATGGGGCCCAGGGCTGGGGTGCGTGCAATGTAAGCATTTTTTCACATTTCTGCATGTCTTGCTTTTTTATGCCTCTACATACATGTACATGTATATATGGGAATTGGGTCACAGTGGCAGCTTGTATACAAATACATGTCCCATTTTGCTGTCATAGCTTATGACACAATCAACAGACTTTGGAATCATTTAAAGCCCATTTGTTCTCAAACAAACAGAAAAATAAGCACGCTTGGATAATGCATAATTCACCTGACAAAGCAAAATCTGAAGATGTTATTAAAAGATAGTTATTATTCAAAGGTACAATGTAGTGGCACTATTCACTGCATTTCTTAATTTGCAGCCAACTTTGCAGAAATTATGAATATAGCACGTATGTCATATCTTCATAATTAGGTTTCACTGTATTTCATATTTCAGTCCAAGACAAACACATCCTTCTATTAATCTTTCAATACCTACAATTCTAAAATTTCTTAATGTGGCATTTACTGCACTTTGAGAGGAAAAATTAAAATTCCTATAATCGTGTCTATATTTATGTGTCTGTAACACTTCAAACTCATTCTTGGTCCCTCTCCCCACCTCTTTGGTCATGCTACTTCAACTTGCTCAATTATTCATAGAAAGGCATGCATTGATAATTGATCAACATCTAGTCCCTGAGCACGATTTTTGGCAGGATTTTGTCACACAACACAGGGTGATTTTATAGTTCATAGTTCATATCTCATGCTCGTATCCACTGGTCATCTGCTACATGTAGCTTCCATACCCTTCATCTACATGTACATACGCATTACCTCACATAGCTTTTAGAATACACAATATTTTATAGAAACCCTTCAAGCTCCAATAAATGTGACTGATCTTTGAGTGCCATATAAAGTCTGAAGTCAATTTGGTTTTGGAGCTGTCATAGAGACATCTTCCTCCTGAACATGAAGGTTGTTCAACTTCCATGCAAAATTGCAAGTAATTAAAAAAATAAAAAACAAACAGAATACGCATGAATATCACTGGAGTTGACTTGGCTCTCTTCAAATGCAATATTTTGTAACAAAATGCAAATATATTGATATTGTTGCTCAATTTCTCTTTAATCAAATTCTGATTTTTACCTGCTCTTAGGGTTTGAACATCTATTACACAGTGTCTTATCTGCGATTTCCTGTGATTTTCCACGCTCTGGTCCTTGGCATTTTTGATAAGTAGGCCCTGGCCTCCCAGGTCCTAGACCTGGACCTAGTCACAGGTTCTTACTCGGTTTCCTCAGTCAGTTTCTGTCTGCTATGATAGTCCAACCAACTTTTTAACAGTTTCAAAGTTTTCTTCCGCAATTTTCTGCGCCCTATTCTGCCCGGTCTTCAGGACCTCCTCCAAGTAGGCCCTGTCCCTTCTGAGTTCCTGGACCTTATTCCTAATCGGTTCCAGTTTCTCGTTGACCACATCTGCAACCACCATCTTGAATTGTGACGTGTTCATGATTTCTGCCTTCCCGCAGATCCTGTTTGGTTCTTTCCCTGTAAATGCAGACAGTATCGATACAAGGTTGGACACCCCGGGTCGTGACTCTGGGTCAAAGGTCACCTCCGAGATGAAGTCCGTCTTGGCCTTCTTGAACTTCTCTCGGATGTCCCGACAGGAATCAGTGAGTTCTATCTTGCCCTTAGGGTCTGGCTCTGACTTGCTCATCTTCTGTTCAGGGTTGCGTAGGCTCTTGATCTTCCTGAAGTCACCTTTGAATGATAGAACAGAATAGGCTGCTTTAAAGCGGGACTACATGTACACTATTTGTATCTACTTGCGCCCTCTATATAGCCAGCAATGCCTAAGCACTACCCGTTGGTCCCCCATGATCCCCTTTTTCTTAAATGTTATTTGAGACCTGATTTGATATAACCACCTGCCAGTGACCAGGCAGGGAGGTCTAATCCCTCCTGGCCAAACTAGTGCAGATAGGCTTTAAACGGTATGGATCTACATACATTGTGGCTGGAAAATGAAAGGGTAGGCATAAGCATGCAATGCTACACGCAATTGTCCACATTCTAATAATTCAATTAAAATTAACACCGGGTCTAAGATAATGTTTCACAAAGGAAAACTTAGACCTCAAACAAACTTCCTTTGACAAGTCCCATTTGAACAGAATATTATGCTCAGCATCAGTTTTCAGTTAATAGAATACAAGCCAATGGGAATTATATCACGTTTGAGCCTTTTTGAAACATTTTTCTTTCTATCTATTACTGCTTTTGGGGTCTATGAATTGAAGTAAGATTTCCTGAAGAGATTTCAATTTTCAAGAGCTCTTCTTTAATCTTTTTCTTTTGTAAAGCAAAACTACTCTCAGACCACATTCTTTGATGGACTTACCTACGATTGACTTGGGTGTAGGAAAGAATTCTCCAAAGGCATTGTTAAAGATCCTGGCCACGTCTTGAGCCAGCTCTAGATGTGGCAGCTGATCTTCACCCACTGGGACATGGGTCGCTCTTGGAATACACAAGGCATAATATTGAATAAGAATGAGAACCACAATAGTAATACTAATACCAGGACATCATCTCCACCAAGGTACCACCACCAACATCATCATCATCATCATCACCACCATTACCAATGGCCATCATCTTCATCATCATCATCATCATCAACGAGCACCATCATCATCATCAACACCCCCATCATCATCATCCCCACCATCACAAATGACCATCATTGCTTTCACCATCACCACTTTCACCATCATCATAACCATCATTACTATCACCAATGATCATCATCAACAACCACCATCATTATCATCACCACCATCATCACCATCTCCATCACCATCATCATCATCATCACCACCACCACCACCACCACCCACCACCACCACCACCACCACCACCACCACCACCACCACCACCACCATCATCATCTTCATCACTATCACCATTATTAATCAAATGTAATCACAACTGTCAACATCATCATGAAAGTCATCATCATCACCATCATCATCGTCATAGAAAAATCATCATCATTCTCTTCTTCATCACGACCATCATCCTCAAGCATTCAAGAAATTTCTCCCTGCCCAATACAGGGCATTCGTTTGAACCTTCTTACCAATACACTGTAGCTTCTCCAGCCTATTTCAATGCTTTTGACACAGCAATTGTGAAATTGAAATGCTTATGCACCCGTAGATAAAGTTGATGAAGGATGAGAATGCTTACTTGTACAGGAGGATGTCTGCACTCTGTAGGACTGGGTAGGTGTAAAGGCCAATGCAGGACTTGGTCTTGTCATTCCCTGCTTTGGCCTGAGATGAGATAGAAGAAGAGGGGGGGGGGGGGGGGGGGGGGGGGAGATAGATGGGGGGAGAGAGAGAGAGAGAGAGAAGGGAGATAGACAACGAGAGAGAGAGAGGGGGGGGGGGGGGAGAGAGAGAGGATGATGAAACAATGATAAAAAGGGACAGTGAAAGAGAGTAATAAAATAAAATAAGAAGGAATAACTATCAAATGAATAATAAACATAACATTCCGTAAGTCACATGAGACTACATGTATATATTTATAAATACTACAATAGGGCATTGTCCATAATTATGCAATTATAATCCATACAACAATGATCAATGATTCTGTATTGCCTTGTGACAAAACATCATTCCTTAAACAAACAGTATCTAAACCATAACATGAAAATAAGGTCAAGATTTGAACCTTGAGGAAATGCACATTGTCTTTGAGAGTAAAACAATGGGGTATAAGTTCAGCAACCTTAGTCCTGGATGTGTGTGCACCAACAAACCCGGCCTTGAAAGACAAAATCAGTCAAGGAAACAACTGAGTCAAACAAGTAAATGTGTTTCCTTGAGTAGACTTATAGATTTACTTGTATTCTGTGTGAGAATATCATAAACATGTAATGGCATACATGAAACTACATACAGTGTAGGGGCTAATTCCTGAAAAAAGAAGGAAGCAAGGACAAAAAGAAGGGAAAAGGGCAAAGGAGATGGAGAAGAGAAAAGGGATGAGAGAGAGAGAGAGAAAGAGAGAGGGGTGGATAAAGACCCCCCCCCCCCCCCCCCCCCCCCCCCGTGTCAGTGCCCCTTCAATGGCTAGAACAACAATGCTCCACTCAATATATGTACAGTGTAGTTCAAACTTCCAAATGTTGCAAAATGATTCAAACTACCTTCTGACATTTTTGTAATAAACACCACATTATCATCGAATTGACATTCAGACAATAGGGCTTATGTGACATACCTTCCATTGTGGGAACTGTCCTAGTCTGGCAAGCGTGGTCTTGCAGCCCAAGACCCAACTCAGCTCTGCATGCTGGTGGACCTGCAGCACAGAAAGGGTACTTTGATCATTCAAAACAAAAGAATATTTTAACATATTACTTTCACTATCATGGAATAGCAGAGGATGATGAAAGAAACATCTTTGGGTCTGGTATTACATACAATGGACCTTTCAAAGAAACCGTGGCTTAATTAAAGTAATTGGACATGCCAAAATTGAAGAAAAAAAGGGATGTGGGAAATCTTTCAGTAAAGCCATATTCCACTTATAATGAAAAATAAAGAAACCCAAGCAACTTGCCAAAATATACAGTACATGTACATCCCAAGACAAATACAAGTATTAAAGCACCCCCTTCCCTTTCACACATTTTAGTAAGCAATAACTCAATGTTTGTGACATGTACATTTATCTGTAAACACCATACTGACCTACACCATATAAGGCCAGTAAAAGTGCACTACAAAGGAAGTGAAAATGACATCAATATCTCAGTCAAAAGGTAAGTTATCAAATGATTATCTCTGTAAAGTGGTTTCCAATACCCTCATCTATTTCAAACATGTACAGGTGTACATTGATTTGTTATGTTTAAAAAGTATAAAATTGAATGATAGCATGTTCAATGACACTTGTAACTTTGAAAATTGATAGCCCCTTCCCTTACAAGTCACATCTTGGCCATATGGTGCCCTCACAATAGTCAACACCTTTTTAAAAAGTGCACTCCAAGAGTGCAATGACATTTATATTTTTTGAAATGCCCAGTTTATGGCAGCCCCCTTTGCATGAGTGGCAATGAGTAGCAAGCAAATTTCCAAGCATATACTGAATATTGATATATATTTTTTTTGCATCACTTTCCTAAACATTATTTTGGTGACTATAACACCTCAACAGGTCAGCAAGTGAAAAATTCAACATACCGGTAACTATTTTCAGGTACTTAACCACTTTTGTGCCGGTGGCAGCAAATTTCCCAAGACTTTGAGTGTCAAACAGTGTACAGAACAATAATAATGACAGCCGCTGTGCACAATTACATATATCATAGCATATCTATCAAGCTGGAATACAGTATTTTATTGTAGTATTCTTGTATGTACAGTAGTTCAAATAATAAATAGTTCAAATGTTACAAATCTGCAATCTGCACCATACCTTCCTGTGGCAACCAAGTTTTTAAACAAATTATGTAAAAAGAAAACAAACATAAAAGAACAACTTGACGTGTGGAGAAGAAGTGCAGGAAACTGGAAGGAACTGGAAGGAACTGGAAGGAAATAAGAATGTTTTCTTCAAACAATGCAACAGAGTGACCTTCACCCTGGCACGCTCCAAACTGTTTTTCAAGATTTTGACCTACATGTACAAAAGATAATATTGTTATCATCATGTGAGGATGAGTGATGTGGTTTTGTGATACCCTTCTACTGAATGCTGTGAGCCCCAAATTATACCCATGAAATGTACTTCTGAAGAATGTGTTTGGACTAATACTACACTTAACTCTTGTAAATATGATTTTCTTTTTGTGTGTGTGTTTTTCGAAAGTAGTAACTCAAGAATGAAAAGTGGACTGGTTGAATTAGGACCTTTGTTGAAAACTTTTAGATTTAAGCTTTAATTTGTGACATTCTCAAGAACATAATCATGCCAAATTGATTTTTCATATACATAAACAATTACAAAAAAAATAATGGGTGGGGGTATGATTTAGTTGTCCACTGTTACATACATGTATGCGCTTCATTCACACTGATGAGGCTGGACATCAGTCTGATTGACACTAGGGGTTTGTTTCATTATAATCAATAACAAATTATAAAATTCTAAGACACCTTTGCCTTCAGCCAATCAAATGCCACAATTTCAGTATTTAAACAGGGCACGTAATAGAAAAGCATTACACTGGCCCAATTGGCCAAGAGTTGGTTGGTTTGGAGTTCCCCCTCCCCACAGAGAAACTGTACACAGCACTGTAAAGTTTTTATTCCTACGAGTATGGTCAATATTTCCTTTCAAAATTTGTCAATGACACCAGTATGCTAGATGCTTCTTCATGCTGTAGTACAAGTAGTACAAATACAACAATTTAGAATTTCACACATACATGTATATCACCCCACAAATGAACAAATATTTGCTATCTACATGTATTAGCCTTCTTGAAATTTAGAATGATAAACATGAACTTTTAACCTTGGTTGGTAAAGGAAAGATAAATTCAAGGCTTTATTCGCAATCTAGTCCCCATACTCTATGTACATCTCTAATATAGACCAAGTGCAAAATAGAGATAATAACTCATTGTATTGCAACTCATGACTGACTGCCTGCTTAACATTTTGGTCGTCTTCTTCGTCCCTCTAAACGATCACTCATTTGCCAAACATGCATTTTTGCACAAAACAATAGGCTCAATTTAGAGATCTATACAATGTACATGTAGATTGCTGTGTGCAACACATTCCTATGCAAATCAAATTCACACATATTTCCGGTCTGGACTATTTATCATGGGATAGATATTTATCTGGGGACAACTCGTTTTTTTTCATTTTACCCTAACCCTTACCCTAACTATAACTCTAACTCTAACCCTAAACCTGCAAAAACTGACCGTTTTTGCAGCGGCCATGTAAATATATACCAAAGGCTTCAAGATTAATCATAATGGTGTTAAAAGGGTTGCCATGGAGCTAATCCAGACAGACAATGGGTTAGTTTGCAAAGCCATTGTGTTATACAAAACAATTGCAAAATTATGTGTGGCAAATGAGCGACTGTACAGTGAGGCAAAGACCAGTGTTAATCCTAAATTTTACAAACATACACTTTTCAAGTTTTCAGTGATTTGCCCTTGTTTTCAATGCTTAATCCTTATCAATTCATTGTAAGAAAATTTAAAGTTCATGACCTGTTAAATGAACAAGTTATGAATGAAATATCAAGTGTACACAATTCATAATTTACATTATTAGTTTGTACATTGTAAGGCATTGTTGAGTACTGATTCTTGTTTTTTTGTTTTTTTAAAGTATCGATTGTAAAAGTAAATTAATTATTTTTTTTGTTTTGTTACGTTCTCTAAACTGATTTGTACCAAAATACTTTGTTTAGCTCTTTAAGGGGTTAGGTTCGACTAGCACATGTGCTATTATCTGGCCCCTTTTACCAACCAATAGTTTCTCTTCCTGTATATGTAAATTATTGTATGAAATGTATTGCTGCTGTTGGTAAATAAATCAAATCAAATCAAATCAAATTCAATTGGTAAGAATACTGTTTCTCTGTCCAAACATATTAACACAGCAAATATGAAAATTCATGGAGATAATCATGCTTTCAATCATTTTCCCATGACACTGGATGGCTGGCAGATAATTTTCTTGAATAAGGGTCCTTGCTTTTACTACAAATATAATTCCATTACATCATACTTCATTCTTCTTCTTCTAGTAATCTTCAATGGGCTAAGCGGCCTATCACAAAGATGAACTAAAGATTGCAAGTGGTGTGATCGAGTAAAACAAACGAGGTTCAACAGGAGGGTTTTAGATGCCTCAGGAGAAGTCCATGGAAGTTCTCTGGGCTGAATGCTGTTCCATTCTGGAAGAAAATAAAATGGGAGATTGAAAAGGCCTACTTACACTGGACTGCTGGAAGAGAATGCTTTTATCAGGGTCGATCCCACAAGCCAGGAGAACAGCTACCGATGTCAGGATGCTCTCCCTCAGCTCCTTGGGATCCTGGGGGAGCGTGATGGAGTGGAGATCCACGATACTCAGGATCATCTCTGTGTTCTCCTCCTCCTGGAGCTGGATCCAGTTCTGGATGGCTCCGAGGTAGTTGCCGATGTGAGGGACCCCCGTCGGTTGGATCCCGGAGAAGACTCGTTTAACCTGTAGAACAGAAAATGAAAATGGCATATTACTATTATTCTCTCTCTTCACTTTAATTAAGATGTAGGAATCAGAATAAAACTAATTATATACCGCACTTAAGTAATCCAGCAATCTGATTGGTCGAAATTGCATTCATAAACTTTTACTGTTCCTGTAAAAACAGACCTATTTTCCCAATAACCATGGTTATTGGGAAAATAGGTCAGTCTCCATGGTTACCCCATAGGTTTACATGTTAAAAAATGGTTTGAGCGATCGAGGATACCGTACGTGTGCGAAGAATTGGTCGGTAATTTCAATACAATTGAATCTCGATCGATCTTACCAACAATTTTATCTTGAATTGTTGACATGAAGACGAAAATAAACTCCAAAAACAAAAAAACAACATCTGCCGATAGATCTTGATCTAAGTTCGTGCCAATATGCATTGCAAAAGTAAAAGAAGGGCCCGATTAATGGAGCAGCCGCGAATCTCAATCACGCGAAGCCGTTTTCAATCCATTTTAATGTATATATTAGAGAAAACTGTTAAGTAAGTTAACAGAGCGCGATAGCCGAGCGGTTTACGGCGCTGATTTTGGTTACATCACCTTTTGTACGCAAAAGATCGAATCCCATCTTCGACAGAAGTTTTTTTATTTTTTATTTTTTATTTTTTAGTCTATTTTTTTTTGGCATAGATCCTATAAAAGTATTAATGACTGCTTTAATATTCGAGAAATAGTTGTTTTTATACGCTCTCTCAAAGCAGTCATTAATACTATACTGTAAAGTGTAGACTGTAGTTTTACCAATCTAGATTTTTTACTTTTATATTGCATTTCTATATCGTAAAGTGTAAAGTGTAGACTGTAGTTTTACCAATCTAGATTTTTTACTTTTATATTGCATTTCTATATCGTGATTCTTATAGACCATATGGTGTCCAGAGAGATGAGGCACAAAAGGCCAAGTTAATTAATTATTTAAAATTATTGTGAAAACATTTTGCATCCCATTTGCAGTTGGATAACCTTATCATGATAGAGATTAACATCATCATTCATACGAGGAGAGGTAGATCCTGTAATCCTCTGTCACTTCTTCAGGGTTGGTTATGTTCTAGATCTAACTAATTGCACAGATGATTTATACTAATTACTAGACCTAGATCTACCAAATAATCAAATTACCAAGTTTAAATTAGAAGTTAAATTAGATCTACGTCGTCGTTAGCTGGTTAGCAGATTGGAACTTAGGTTGAAGTTAGATTAGAACTTTGAGTTTATTTTTTCTCTTGCACATACCTTTGGAGCTTCATTGTATAGTTTCGAACTCTGATGAAATGTCCGTACCAATTCAGGTCTTCGAGAAACTGAGGTAGAAATACACCTTACTCCAAGTCTTGAGCGGGAAAGCGCCATCGTGCCTGCACCAGCTCCAGCGGGTTCCTCGTCGATCAATCGCCCGGCCTCGAGGGGCTAGCGCTCACGCTCGTCGACTGTTCGTCCCCGGGCCCTGGCTCTCTTCGTACAGTACCGTTTACCGCTAGTGGAGCGGGGTGGAGACTCAACACAGCACACAGTTCCTTCTCGTAATGCGCGTCGCATGTACTGTGTGATTTCGATTTTGATAAATTGTGTACGTTATGGATCAGTGATGCAATAGTACTGAAAATATACACTAAACTATGATGTCATATTGTATGGTATCTTTGAGATCACTAAAAGAGAGTAGGAAACAACCTGTGCGGCGTGTGCACGTCACTGCATAATGACTTATAACCATTCTACCTATTTTATATATTCATGTCTGTTTTTAATCTCATGTTTTTATTGTTGTTGTTGTTGTCTTGGGGGGGGGGGGGGGGGGGGTGTCATGCTATGCCAAGAGTATAAGGGATTGCTCCATCATATTTTGACACCAAAACGTATTAGTTCCAACCAGTAGTAACTAACAAATAATGAGTAACGAGCACAGAGATTAATCCTCCAATGTCAAGGTAAGTCTTTATACACGCCGGGCAAAGTATCAGAATCACAGAAACGTATAAGTAGAGCTTTCTGAAACCTTGATTCACTATATTTTGTATTAAAATGCATATAGTTGCTCCAATGTGGGTCGTGCAGATTAAATTGATAGTATTAATTTTGTATTCCTGTGTCTCAAATGTTATATTATTCGATTTCAAGAGGTAGAATAAAATTTCCAGGGTTTAGTCTTTTTTGTAAAAATACAACAAAAAGGAAAACAGTATAGATCGAGCTGCGAAATTCATTGAAATAGGCGACTCTAGTGCCGACAAACTAAACCCTACATCTTCTTCTTCTTCTTCTTCTTCTTCTTCTTCTTCAGTTCTTCTTCTTCTTCCTCTTCCTCTTCCTCTTCTTCTTCTACTTCTTCTTCTACTTCTTCTTCTTCTTCTTCTTCTTCTTCTTCTTCTTCTCTTCTTCTTCTCCTTCTCGATCTTTCTTCTTCTTCTTCTTCTTCTTCTTCTTCTTCTTCTTCTTCTTCTTCTTCTTCTTCTTCTTCTACTTGTTGTTGATTATTGGTATATGATTCACAAACACTTATTGTATTAAGTGCATCACTGTTATTTTTTATCTGTTTTAATTATTATATGTATTGTAAATAAAGTTTTACTTTCAAAAGTCAAAAAGTCTTCTTCTTCTTCTTCTTCTTCTTCTTCTTCTTCTTCTTCCTCTTCTTGTTCTTGTTCTTGTTCTTCTTGTTCTTCTTGTTCTTCTTGTTCTTGTTCTTGTTCTTGTTGTTGTTCTTGTTCTTGTTCTTGTTCTTGTTGTTGTTCTTGTTCTTCTTGTTCTTCTTGTTCTTCTTGTTCTTGTTCTTGTTCTTGTTCTTGTTCTTCTTCTTCTTCTTCTTCTTCTTCTTCTTCTTCTTCTTCTTGTTCTTGTTCTTCTTGTTCTTCTTCTTCTTCCTCGTGGGCATGGTATTTGATCGGGGCCATTTATTGCATGCCCATCTCCTTTGGAAATCAACTATCCCGTCAGGGATTCATGTATATATATTCTTTCTTGTATATTATTCAATGTAGTTATGCATTTATGTTTGAGGAATAAAAAGAAACCAATCCACGTTAATTGTCAAAACCGGATCAAAACACAACCCAAAACGAAATTTTATCAACAACGAGAGCAGTCTTTCTAAGAGACACCGTAGCTAATTTTTATTTGTGATCGGTTAATTCAGTTAAAAAGAGCCACGTTAATAGTGCACGTACGTACACAAAAGTACGAGGTTTGGAAGACTTCATGTAAGGTACTTTTCACGAAAAAGTATGGCTTTAGATATTTGTCACACTGTTCTGTTGCATTTTGTGCATATCTTGCTATGGACCCGCCTCTATTTATGGACACTCGTTTTGAGGTTTATTTCAAAACCTTTTGGTTTGTGTATCGGAGAGCGACGTAAACTATCCGCGGAAAGATGCCGGATCGACTCCAAAAATCTTCCAAAACTTCCATTACACATCGGTCTTCAGATCGTGGAAAATCGGATTTCAGATGGAGATGTCGCTAATCTACTGGTGTGGTGCATAGCTATGGGATTTTCATACATTTCTCTGTTTGATAATGAAGGTAAAATATCGAAATGTATTAACTGTTCTGCTTTTGGTGATCAAAATTGATATGATGATTAAACTAGATCTAGGTCTAGGTCAAGGTCACTCAACCAAGGCCCGGGGGGGGGGGGGGGGGCGGTATGAGTAATTCTTTAATAAAACTTACATTTGTCAACCTTAAAGCTAAACTTTAGTACTGGTAATGCGATTGCATTGTGAAAGAAAAGGTGTGAAAGGATCAGAAACAGTTGATCATGTAGCATGTAAGTATTGGTGTGCACTGCAAGGTTCTGGAGTCATCAAAATCATAATAAATTTGACCGAGTCTTGGTAAAGTAACAAACACTCACATAGAAAGCTATATGGGACAACACACATCGTGTCGGGGATGGTACTACCTTGGTTTCCTTGTCTTTCTATGCTCATTACTCAGCCAGTATACATTTTCTTCCAAAATTGTTTGGCACATGTAATTTATTTGTAATCTTGAACATTCAATGTAAGTTTCGTTTGATTCTGTGAGAATTAATTTTTTTTTTTTACCAGTACTGGAGTTTATCTTTAATCATACCACACATAGGATCTATATAGGATCTATATGTATAATGTCTTACTATCATGTTTTTTTTTTTTTTAATTTTTTATTTGAAAAGAAAAGGGAAAAGGGGAAGACAAAATTGTATTTTTGTAAAAAGTATTAGATCTACAAATATACTTTACACAAATTTATCCAATTTCATCTCAGAAACAGCTAGTGGTACCGTTTAATAATCAATTTATTCAAACTGTAATCTAGACTCTATGACATGACCCGGCCGATATATTTCTGGGTGAACTTACCAAAACAAAGCCAATGGCCAATCGGATCATTCGTTTGATATTGCCTGGGTTTATGAATATTAAAATATCAATCCGTCAGCCGTGCTGTCTCATATGTAGCTATTGTATGTTCAAAAACTTTTTAATGAATATTAACTATACTCAATTCAAGATGGCTGACATTGTATCATGTTGACGACAAGTTTTCTCGAATTAAATATCAGAACAATAAGTAGGACAAAATACTATCCAGATGATTTATTTTTGGTTCTGTGTTACTAGAATGAGAATATGTCAACATCGTCATGGGTTTTCTACGCTGTTGTTTTCTTATAAAACCAGACACAAAATCAAAGGGGTAGAGAGTTCAACTCAAAAAAACATTAAAAGTTCAAGGTTCAAGTCCTCAACTTCAAGGCTTAAATTTATTTTCCATTTTCTCTTATACAAAACATAGCAGTGCAATGAGTGCATTACCAAAATCAGTACAATAATAATGTTGCAATTGTTAAAGGATTACATATTTCTTTGGTGAACATGCATCATTATAAAATAATTGTAGAATATAATCATTCTTAATTACATCATAATTTGAGAAAAAGATAACTAACAAATAGTACAAACAAATTATTCAAGTGGTCATCAGCTTATGTGACATAAAAAAAAAAATCATCAAGCCGGCATGGACGCTTGTGTTCACGAGATGGATATTTACGGTCTGCGTTTTCAGACTGTTGCTCAGTATAGTCTTGTCCTTCGTCTGAGCTGTACGGGTCAGAACGTGGGATGGGGTCACTGTTTGCTTTAAGAAATCTACTATTTTGAAGAAGGTAGCATTTCGAGTGATATTTGTGGTCCTCGTTTGACTGTTACAATTGACCCTTTCGATATGATCACAACAAAACAACAAATGATTGTGAATTATAAAGAGTTGTCATCTTTTTTATGTGGCCCTCACGTTAAAGCTGAACTTTGTTGCCCGGTTCGTGCGGTTTCTTTTTCGGAGTCTCAAACGCTTTTCTGCGTTTGCTTTATTTTTGCTACTTTTTCTTACGATCGCGATCACGTACTCATGGAATTTCCATCTTGCTTGGCTGGTGCTTCACCAGTGATTGCGTGTGGTGGAGCTCTGAAGTTGCTTAGCAAACGACGCAATTCCTGCTTCCACAAATTGTTTTCAGCAAGTGCTGTGTGGATCATTTTCTTCAAGGTGCGCATGAATCTTTCAACTTCCCCTTTCGCTAGTGTCCAGTTCTGTATCATTCAGAATATGAGCTCCTCTCAGATGTTTTAAAGGTAAAGACCAGTTATGGTCATGCGATTGCATTGTGAAAGAAACGTTGTGAAATCAATCAGAAAAGGTTGATCATCTAGCATCTAGCATCTGCAAGGTTCTGGAATCATCAAAATGATAAGAAATTTGGCCCATTCTTCGTAAAGTTACAAGCACTATACACAGAAAGATGTATATAGGACTACCCTATATGTCTCACAGACCATGAGAGAAACAAATTTACCAAATATATGAATTAGTAGGCGGTTTTCCGGCAAATTTGTTATCATCATGTATTAGTCAAAACATATTCTTTCACATGATTGGTAATGAGAACTTCCATTTCATTTTTTGAAATCGGGGCGTTTTCAATACTGGTCTTTACCTTTTTAAAGGCTGCTTGTCTGTCCATCGCCTTAGTCTTCAAGTTCTGATGTTTTCCAGCTCTGCTTGGCAAAATCCTAAATTGTTTCCAAGGACTGGATAGTGATATGAAGGGCTGTTCCTCCTGGCGAGCTTGATGAGTTTGTTTTTTGAGATCCTTTGGGAGTCCATAGTCATCAATTCCCAAGTTTCATCTGTACTTCAATGTGATGTTTGCAGTATCTGTGAAGTTGATGCACCTTGCAGTTGTTCTTGATCTTGTGGAGAAGCTCTCTCTATTCTGTGAGGAGTTGAGAAATCCAATCAAATTACTTATTTGATCTCGAGGTTCTTATTTTGTCCTACTTCCAGTGACACTAAAACACTGTCTGGCCAAGTGGGAAAGTCCAGTACAAAGTGCTCACAGATCCTGGCTTCAGACCATTACTTTATCGAAGGGGACATCAGCAGGTCCTCAAATAAGATCCTGTTGTTCCATTACGACAGATACTAATTCTTGTTCCCCTTCTTTCCTTTTTATCAACTTGCATCATAGAGGTGTGCATGTAAGATGACAGGTGTCTTCTGCAAGGCTAATACAGTTCTTTTCTATAAACGGCCAACAGCACATCTTCTTTCTTTGAAGAAAGTAATTCTTGACCAACGTAATATCAAACCATGAAAAGTGATCCATCTGCAGTTTGTGTACATCTTTTTTTCCGATGGTGTAGCTAGGTATTTCAGACCTCGACAAGAGAACTCTTTCTTTAACAACTGCTACGGATGAGTATTCTCCCTTTTCAGTGTACAAGACTGCCTCCACACTGGAGTATCGTGTACCGGTAAAGGCGGTAATCACAGCACAGTGAGGTAATATTGTGTAAGGCTCTGGAACCTTACGAACTAAGTCATCAGAGGCTAAACACTGTACACCAAAGCAGACTGCCATCTGTTCTTTGCTGTTGCCAAGATTAGGAGTATCTGTCAGGCCAGGAAGAATGCCCTGTGGCGCTTCACAGTCAATTGCACCGAGAGTAATCTCAAGTTCAATTCCAAAGGAATCTAGCTGAAGTTTGCCACCTTCTAGTCCTACTCTCTCAAGACATTCCATCTTGATTGGTTTGACATTTTCTTCACCTGGAACTGTCTCATTGGGCAGGCTTTCCATGGAAATTTAATACTCCTCTTCCTCCTCCTTTTCTCCTTCCTCCTTTTCTCCTCCCTCAGTGTTCTGGGTGTCTGTCTGTTCTTCATGAACTTTAATATACCCTTGATGTGGCTCCAACAAGCTCATCCACTGAAGAAGTTGGGGAGGGTGGAGAGGATGGGGAGGTCTTCCTCTCCGGCTTGAATGTCATCCCTGTACCCTGCTCAAAGTCTTCATGTGATGCCTGACTTTCATGTTAAACTGTGACCTTTACATTAGGATACATCTCTGAAAGTTTGTGGATGTCAGTTTGAGACAGCAGGTTTTCCACATTTAAGAACTCGAGTTTTCAAAGTGAACTCTCTTCTCCTTTGCTCTGCTGTGGGTGCCTGATTCTCTGAATTTGTATGCATCAGAAGACAGATTTCCTTGTTGAGTTCTACATTGAGATTTATGTACATTGAGTTTTATTTCTGAATGAGGAAAAGAATACTGTTTGTCCCTAATGTGGAGATGCAGGTTTGTGGATTGCTACTAAAGAACCTCTAAACTTCATGACAGAGATTGAGATTCAGTGAAATGCATATGAGGAAATGGAGAAATGTGTAGATCTTGTAAAAAAAAAGAAAAATGAATTCAAAAGAATTAGAAACAAAACTGTATAATGATAAAAACGGTGCATATAAAGTGCTCACCGCCAAAGTCTCTACAGTGTAAGCACTATAACAAACAAAATACAATGATAAACAATTACATATTAAACAAAACAAAAAGAAAATTCAGATGAACCTACAAATTACAATACATATGAAATATAGATCAATGTGAACAGAGTTTAGTGTATAAGACATGTCGGTTTAAAAAGTTCTAAAACAAACCATTTTAGTATTTTTGATACTTTTTCAGGTTACTTCAAGAACAATCCATCCAGACTGAGAAGTGTGTTGCAGAAAAAGATGGCAGACGTCTCAGAGAGTGATCATCTTGTCTTCCAGATTGAAGTTCCAGTGAGAAATGGAGGAAAATGTTATGAAGTCATCAGCAAAGATACTTCACAAGGTTTGTTTCAAATGACAAAAACTTTGAAATGCTGTTTTAAAGAAAGTTTATTCCTAGAAATGTAGGATTACCAAACAAAAATTACATTCCACGATCAGATTTTAAAGGAGAAAATAGTTTTGGTCTTTTGAATATTGCCTTAAAATTGTTCTGGTTTAGTCAATTCAGTATGTGATGTTTCACTATGTTCTAATATCATAAAAAGCTTCAATAGTTTACTAATTGAAGATTTAGAATTGAATGATTATTCTAAACAAACAATTTTCAATGCATTAATGAAAGGAAGAGATAGTCCAGAAACATTTACAAGTTGTAACCCAACTCATCAATGCATGAAGGTCTGCCATTATTCTGTTGAAATAGGCAGATTTAGGATACCGGTATCTTAAAATTAACAAACTTAACAAAAAGGTCTAGTTCTTTTGTATTTTTAACTTGAATTGTCATCTCCCTGTGTCTGCAAATAGTAGTACAGTGTACCTTTACACCTTGGTTATATTTTCCTTGCAGCCACAAAAAGAACACGAATAGCCATAATGTCTTGTGAAGATGGAAGAGGGGATATACTGGATTCTGCAAGGCATCTTTGTCAAGATGTAGCTGACAAGAGATATCGAGCATCAGAGATAGACATTCCTCATCTAGACCAAGTTATGAATAGTAAGTTAAACTTTGAGAAGTGTCAAAGTGTCGTAGTCGTGTGGATTAAAGCACTTGACTTGAAATTCAAAGGTCATGGTTTGAACCCCGACATGGCACTAATGTCCTTTGGCAAGGCATTAATCTTTATTTGCCACACTCGACCCAGGTGAGGTAAGTGGGTACCTGGCAGGAATTCCTTGAAATGCTAGAGCGCTGTAATGGCAGCTAGGCTAAAGCCGGGGTAATAATAAATGCGCCCCTTAATAGAATTTCTAGATAGTCGGCGCTATAGAAAAGCCTATTATTATTATTATTATCATTAATGATTTGATTTTTGTTAAATACTTAGAACCTGTAGTATTTTCTGTAGTTTTTTTACTAATATGAAATACTAAGCATACAAGATTATTCAGTCACACAAAAATCATGAAAGAGGTTCATCTGATTGGTGATGATATGTTGAAAATTACATCTTACTTCACAATCAGGGGGAAAATTACCTGTTTTAGTATTAAAGCATTTGATTACTGTGTTGCAAGCCAGTACAGATATTTCAAAAAATGATGCAAACATTATAATGTTAAACAGTGATCCTTGCTTCCTTGTTTTTTGTATACTTCTATGTGTATTGTTTAAATCAGGCCTTCTCAACTGGCGGCGCGCGCGCCACTTGTGGCGCTTGCGGTCAGTCGGAGTGGCGCGCGACTGTTGCAACAACAAAACAAAAAAACAGAAAGCAAGCAAATAGACCAATACTCAGCGAAATCAAGAAGTTGCAGTCGAATTTGAGCCCAAAATGCCTGCCTAACAAACAGGAAGAAAGGGGAATTTATCGTTTTCTACCATTTTATACGAATGTAAACCTAAGGTCTGAACAACAATTAGCTTACGATCAATTCGATGGGATACCAATTTTAACATTACGTATCTCTGGAAACATCTTGTTTTTGTTTGTTTGATTTTCACTTTATTTTGACATTTCCCGTGTTAATTGGACACCAAAAACTACATATAGAGTCAAAATATACCTCCAGTGTAATTGTACCCAGGAATTGTACTAATTTTTTCACATCAAAATGAAATTATGATTGATTATATTGTGGAATGAAATGGTGCTAATAATGCCCCATTTGGGCCTATAGAAAGCCCTAAATCCAACAGCTTCAGGGGGCTTCGCCCCTGGACCCCAACGATTTTCGGCTCGGTCGCTACGCTCCTTCGTAGCACAATCGACCATACAGGGTGGCACTTCAACTACAAATTATTTTCGTTTTGGCACTTCTAATAAACTAGTTGAGAAGGCCTGGTTTAAATTCCTATAGCGTAGAGGCATTTTGAGAGAAACAGATTGTTTGGACTGGCAAAATGGAAGCAGACTAACAAGGATCACATTTTCTCTGAAGTACAACTCACATGTACACATAGCAGACTTTGTTATGCTCTTGGTGGGGATGACTACATTATATTTTAACCTTGATTTTCATATATTGTTTTGCTCATTAGTAATCTGTAACCTTCCACTTGCTACCAAATTCATATCAATATTTCATTTTATTTTTGTCTGAGCACACCGTCTAAGTTTACTTTGATTTTGTGAAAATGTATTTATTATCATTAAGATGCTTTAAAGCAGTGTGTATCAATCTCCATTATTTGTCTTTGTTTCAGCATTGTTGGATTATCCTGACCCAGAATTAATCATTCAGTTTGGACGGGTGAATAGTCTACTTGGGTACTCGCCATGGAAAATCAGAGTTACTGAAATATTGTAAGTATCGTGTCACGATTATCTTCCCAGTGTTGCCACCAGTTGAGGCTGGAGTAATTATACTAATGTGGCTAACTGTTTTCTTGCCAAAAAACTTGATAATTTCAGTCTGAAAAGAAATTACTTTTGATATCAATCAGAATTCTGTAAAAGAAAAAAGGAGAAAAAAGAAAGAAAGAAAGATGAAACAACAGGATGCACCTGTTGTTCAAAATTGTATTTTACTAGTTTGGTACAATAGCAGGAGAAGGAGGCAATCTGTGGATACTTTTTCCAACAAAAATAACCATACTTTTCAGGCGCGGATCTAGCTTTTTGCCGTTTTACTGTTTTACTTTTTTCTTCTTCTTTTTTCCCCTTTTTTCCCTTCTTTTCCCCCCCTTTTTTTCACTTGACCACCCAAGGGGGGGGGGGGGGGTTTAAACCGCCGAAACCCCCCCCCCCCTCAAACCGCCCCTGCTTTTTAGGTAAATAATCATAGTTCTTTAGTGCAGTCTGCAGATTTCCCCGCAATACTGCGATGGAACATTCATTATTAAGGCTATAAAACTTCTGGTTGTCAGAATGGCATCAATTTGGCACTTATTTTAAGGTGATATGATGGAGCGGCTCTTCCAAATTAAAGTGTTTTGGAGTAGCTCTACATGATGAAGACCTAATTTCTCTATTCATTTCATAGCGTTACCCAATTTTGGGGAATAAATAACTTGCATCAGAGAAAAATGAGGACTAATTCTTGTCTTCTCATGTTTCTCCCTCTCTCAGGTCTGTGCCAACGCATCATAGCATCAATTACCAAAGCTTCGTCAATGTACTTCAATCCTATTCCAAAACACAGCAGAGATTCGGCAAGTAGAAAAAGGAATCTCCAGTTCTCCCTCAAAAGAATTATTGTCCATGAAATACCTTAATATATATATTTTTGGAATACTATGTAAATTTAAACTTTTGTAAGTTAAAACTAGATAATAATTTGGAGTTGCTTGGTTATGTCTGCATATGAAATGGTTGTTCTGTGACTCTGTCTATCATTTATATGGTATTGCCATATATGCACTATGCAGTGATTGTTGATTGTGATTTTTGTTGTTTTATGGTTTTGTACTATGACAACGATTTGGAATCTTTTAATTCTCTGCTCTGAATATGTATTAGCAGGGCCCTGTCTTACAAAGAGCTGATATTGATTGCAAATTATTTGAAATTAATATCAATCACAACTTTGTACATAAGAGATAGGAGATCGCAAACTTGCGATTGATCAGAGGACTTGTGATTGATTTGGATCAATCGCAACTCTTTGTATAAAGACAGGGCCCAGATGTCAGGTTATTTTAAAATCAGTTAATTCAAATGTACTGTACATTGTAAGTTCAGAAATGTGTTTATGTACATTTATGTATTGAACGATCATGAATTTTGCAAGTTTTGGGATTTGTGAAAGTTACTGCTGCCCAAAAATTAATCACAACATTTAATGTTTGTAATTTGAGAAAAAAGCTTTCATTTTCAATAAGTGAAAGTTTAATGTTGTGTACGTTTCTCTAGTCATTGTAATTGCTCTACCTTGAATGTTAAAATAAACTGCCTAATAAAATAGGTATTTGAAATGAATTACAGTTAAATTAGCAATATAGATCTACAAGTAATGATACCAAAATAATCTTAGCAACGAAACATCAAGGCATACAACTGTAGCTTTGAGTTTTAAACTTAAGTCATCAAAATCATATTCATTATGTTGGTTTTTGTATTGTTGTTTTACTTCACTCAAGTTATAACATCATTCAACACAACAAATAAATCCATAATTCTGAACATGTGTTCATGCCAGTGATGCATTATTGCTGAAGTATTGATATGATTTAGGAAAATGAAAATTTGAAAATATACCAAACGTGTAATTCTAGATACATGTAAGCTTGGCTGATACCAGTGATACCAGTGATCTGTTTATACGTGTACAGTATCGTAGTACTTATTTTATTCAGAAGGCCTTATATGAATATTTTACCTGATTTGAATGTAAAAAAAAGTAGATAATCAGAATGATTTTGCCAAGGAGTTAAGTCTCACCCACTTGGAATGTAGTCATGCTCTTCTGGGTAACTAGCATGCTATAAATGACAGAATTAGCAAGTTACTGCTATGATAGTGCTATTAAATTTAATAATAAATCAAATATTGTTTATTGTAATATTGAAAGACTCTTGCCATGCATACAATTTTAAGATGACTATTTAGGTCCCTCTTTAAAGGTGGGTACCAATAGAGAAAAAAAAAATGACCCTGTTGAGAACCCCCACACCCCCCCAATAAAAGGTTCAAACAACGTACGGTAATCTACCCTAAAATCTTGGATTTCTCAAATTTTATTCATTTGCCCCTCATTCCTGTCCTCGCCCCCTCCCAATAACAATGCTGTCTCTGCCGTTGCCTTTTAATGAATCACTACAATGTTTTAGTGATTGTGTCACCTTTGTATTACTCTTTTGTCAGTATTTGTAAGCGAGTCCTTCAGGTAAAAATTTATTTTTTAAATGACACCCATACATATGTTAATGTTTTGACACTGTTTAGTGTGGCTCTATTTGATTTATTGGACAGTCAAATACAGAAAATTTACCAAAACTAGTTGCCGGGCCATGGCACAAAAATATGCTGTGGTTGAAATTAAGAAGGCGTTATTGGTGCTACTGAAGTGGACAATTCACTCATTTGTTTATTTTGACTGTATTTCAAGCAATAACCTTTCTTTCTTTTGTCACTGTTCAAGGGAACCGTTCCTTCGCCACAGGCAAAGAAAAGAAATTTATACATTTTGCTTGCCCTGCAGGGTGACTGAAGATATTTTTCTTTCCAACACTGCTCATGCGGATATTCTATTTAGTATTTAGACTCATGCATGAACTCATTTTCTTTAGCTATCGTTGGAGCATTGTGCAATTAGAAAACTAGAGTGTAACCATTTCCATACCCCCATGTCCTTTTCATGTACATCGAACTAGCAATGCCATCAGACATGTATCCGGTTTTTTTTTTGTGACAAAATATGTGATGCAGTACTGGTAAAAAAATGTTGGGATCTCCTGGAAAAAACTGACTGAAAAAAGAACAATATTTATAATTTATAATACCAGCGAACTGAATTTTGATATAGTTTTGTTATGTTTTTTTTTAAACTTAAAAAAAAATAGTTTCTACAGTCTACCAATAGACAATTTCTATTATACATTGTATTACAATGTTTAATCAGATTATGCACACACCTGCACATTCTAGGATATGGATAATTGTAATTGAACTTGACATGGATATGGCAAAGATGATAACCATACTTACAAGGTAATAAGCCGTGCTTTACAGACATTCCATGAATAACGTTAACTGGTATTGAATAATTACCAGTCTTGTAAATGTATTTTGTTATTTCATAATATTAGTATTATTAATGAATAAATCAAGATCTGAAAATAATTTCCTGTCTTTTTTTAATTGTGAGGAATCAAAACTTAGAGGGGGGGGGGGGGTACAGATAGACAGTTTGGGAGACAGGGGGTAGTGGGAGAAAGAGATAAGGAGAGAGAATTGAGGACAGAGAGAGATAGAGAGAGAACAGAAAGCAGGAGTACAGAGAAAGAAAGAGAATCGAGGGCGAGATAAAAGTGATATCCTTCAAATATTGAGAATGTAAGATAGAGAGGGAGAGAGAGAGAGAGAAAGCTTAAAATCAAAACTAGCTCTTTCAGGTTGAAAAAGCATTCTCTCGAAAATGATACCAAAATATATCATAACTATAAACAAACTGCTGTTTGAAAAATTTGTAGTAATAGTAATAGAAGTAGAAGTAGTAGTAGTTATTTTTTGGTTCCATTAAAAATACAAATAATTCATACATATAATATTCTATGAATGTAATTTATACAGATAAAAAGAAACTAGAAACTAGTTATACAGATAAAAAGAAACTAGTTCTACAGGCCCGGTCACACAGCCCTCCACGGGCGTATCGCGGCCGAATCACGGCCAAAAATTTCTGCCCGTGAAGCAGACGCTGTTGGACGCTTTGAGGTCGCGATAAAGACGCGATACAGCCGTACTTTACCCGTCGTTACACGCGGTAAGAAATTCACACGCGGTTGGCCGCGCGAAAAAGTTTTGGGCTGCCCAAAAATTTAGACCGCGGGTAATCGCGGGCGGTACACGTGGTACACGTGGTACACACGCGGTAAGGACGCGATACAGACGCGGAACGAACGTGCTAGGACGTGCTACGGCCGCGGTTAAGACGTGGTTACACGCGGAATTGGACGCGAAATTTTAGCGGGTAATCGCGGGTAGAGCACGGTCATAGCACGTTTGTTCCGCGTCTGTACCGCGTTGTTATCACGTGCATTAGCGTGTGTACCGCGTGTAAGCGTTGTAGGCCGCGGTACCGCCGCGCTTCACCCGCGATAAGGACGCGGAACAGTCGCCGGCGTCTGTTCCGCGGGCACACCACGAGTAAACCGCGGGTAAGCCAATTTTGCACATTTTCCACCACGGGCAACCGCGGGCAAAAAAAATCGCGAAATTTTACCCGCGATACAGACGCGAAAGGCTGTGTGACCGGGCCTTAAAGTACGATTTGTAATCTCTCTATCAATATCGGGGATTGTGTACGCGCGTGCATGCTAGTACAGTGCAGTGAGATTAGTGACGTCATACCAGCTCTTTCCATGCCCTGTAATGCCCAAGTTACTATTACCTCACGGTACGCGCACGGGCAGAAGACTAGTGACGTTAGCTGTCATTTACAAAGAGGTCATTTACACCGCGCAATGCCAAAGTCATTATTACGTCACCGATTAGCGCTCCTCTGGATGCGCGCATATGACGTAATCACCTTACCCACCGCAAACATTGGATTCGCTTGTACACACGCTATAGAAACTTAAACCTGTCGGCTGTCAGATGCAAATTTCTACGGAAAAATCAGAAAAACTCTAAGAAACTGATATTTGCCTAGCCGAAATTTCGAAAGAGAGTAAAGAAGTGTATTTTACAGACCATCATGGACAGGCGAGGACACGATGGAAGAATGGACCCGACTGGGTCGGGCCAGAATCTAGGAAATGACGATCTTAGTTTCCCACTCATCAAGAAGCGCTCCAAGTTCAGGCGTCAGCCACCAAAGCGCTTTGTGGATACCGAGAAGGACATTGAAAGTAGTAAGTTGATATGATGTATTTTTTTTTTATATTCTTAAATTTTTGGAAAATCAGTTACTTCACATCTAAGCAAGATAATTATTTAATTGATATAGACCTAGAATTTTTATCGTGACTTAATGAATTGTGAAATATGTATGAAGCATATATGTTATGACATTTTGTTTGATATATGGCGTGAGAGAGAAAAAGAGAGAGAGAGTAATACATGGGAGCATCGGAGAGAGAGAGAGAGAGATTGATTGATTTTTATTCGACAAGCTTCCAACATACAACAATATACAATAATAACAGATCAAAAAAAAGTCAGCTTGAACAGGATAACCCACGAAAGCTCGAGAGCTTATTTCCAGTGGGGTCCCTTACAGACATGTATAAAATTAATAAGTTAAAATAGTAATATTTACAGACAGATAAGAAAATTAAAAGAACTACTTATTAAAGATAATAATAATAATAACAACATTAAACTGATGATAGAAATGATATTAAGTACAAGAAGAAAAAGAAGAAGGAGAAGAAGAAAAAGAGGAGAAGGAAGAAGAGGAAAATAATGATGAATTTGTAGAATTTCTATAACGTACGAAAACATAAGTATATACAACATGAAAAAGTATGAACCGACAGAGAGAGAAGGGGGAGGGGTGACAAATTGGGAAAATTGTTGAGAGATAGAGAATAGGTTTGTTGAAATAGGATTTCAATATGATGTTTGATAAGTTTGCATTAGGAATTATGTAACGCTCATGTTAATAGTAAAAGTAGGAATTAAGATTAATGGGCACATGCTGTTTTTAAATGCAGATGGACAGTTTTGGAAGTTAATTTCTGATAAATTTAATAATGTGTATTGGAGAAAGAAAATCCAACATGCTTCTATAGATAGGTAAGTTAGAATATAATATGATCACGCAAGTTACTAGATGGGTTTGAATGCACACCAATAATTGATGTTATTGTTTATCTTAATATCTTGTCAAAAAGTATACCTGTACATGTAGGTGATGTATTCCAGACTTTATTTTGCGAAGCATTAATGGTTAGGCTTTTTGTTGTGTTAGGGTTTTTGAACTTCGGATTAAGTGTATAGGGTTAGGTTTTGCATATTTTGTTGTAATAATCATATTATTGAATCGAGGGCCGGGGTGAAGTTAGCGGACCATTTTCCCGGGCTAGGCTGCGCGCACGCGCGCATATAGTTTTAGAAGCAGGTTAAGGTAGGCCTACTACATTTTTGTGGGGGGGGGGGGGGGGGGGGTGAGAGGGAATTGATTTTTTTTTCCCTCTTTTTTTTTTCTCGTTCAAACATGGAAAAAGCAAATGATTTTTGATGAGCCATATCCATTTCTGTTATGCTACTGCTGGTAAAAAAAAAAAAAAAAGGCTCTCTGTTGTCTGTTAACTTGACGAAAAATAATGGCGATGTCATTCGTCACCCCTATTTAAAAGTCCTACGTCAAGATCAGATTCATATGGAATTCAGGATTTAATTATTGGGCTTCAATATAATTTTTTTATCAGCCCGTCCAACCACACAGAGTACAGTCGAGCGATTACAAGGACCTTCTCCTTCTGCAAGTCACAGTGTACACCTTCCACCTTTGACTGGGAACGCCATTGTATCCCGAGGAAGCTCGAGCCCGGTCAGACTTACCGCCAGCTCGCCGAACCCGACCAACCCGACCAATAGCCATTTGATCCTGCCACCCATTGAACCCGTACGCCGGGTACCGACGCCACGGCCGCCCCAGACGCCCAACAACCGTCAGGGGAACTTCAGAGCTCGATTCACCCACAACGCGTACGAGGGTCGTGCAACATCAGGAACAACACAGGCTCATCCACCACAGAGTCATCCAATCAATGTGCTTAATCTCGAATATACATCACCGCCACCAGGTCAGAATGAGTAGATTTAGAGCCTAGAACTAACTTACTTAGATCTAGTCAGGACTGTCAACTTTGGGGAACTGCTTTGAGTTTGACTTTGAGTTTGACTGAGGGAGATCGTAGAATCTAATCGTAATTTTCTAGAGGATGCAATTTTTGTTTTTGGGCTTAACAGGAAAAAGGAGGGGGGGGGGGGGTGTTGAGTAAGAAAAAAAAATAAAAAAAATTGAAGCCTCTAAACCCCTAGGATCTTAAGGGGATTTTTTTCTCAAAACAAAGTCAAACAAAGCCCATTTTTTCCCATGATTTTCACGTCCCGTATGTAACCCCCTCAGTATATACTAGACGTAGATCTAGACCTAGACTAGATTCTAGTCATAATCCATGTTCAGATTTATGTTCATATTCATATTCAAAATATGCACCTCCTGATAATGTTATTCCTGGTCATCTACACGCATATCTACAATCTACATCATTTACACTGTATATTCATGTTGGTTTGCATACTTATTGATTAGATCTATATTGATTATCATATTCATTTCAAAGATCACAATGCTCGTACGAACAGCCGCACACGCACTTACACTGCATTCAGCCGTGAGGCAAACTCAGCCAGCCGCAATGCCAACTCGGCCAGTCGCAACAACACCAGTCGACTCGGTGGCAAAGCCAGCCAGATCAGCAACCTGCAAGGGAGTACCTCTGCCAAGAACAGAGATGATGCTCCAAACCCAAGCAGCAAGCGGACCTCGGCAGGACAGCCAGTGCCAGCAACCTATCAGCATCAGGCTTCGAGTAGTGATGGTGCACTGATGATCAAGGGAATTAAGAAACCATCCCCACTTTCAGGCGGTGTCTGCAACTCCAACGACCTGCGCCGTCATAGCACCGGGGGCAAGATGGTTCCCAAACTTGAGAAGACCAACCAGGGCCTGGTGGCTATTGATGAGAAACCACTTCTGGTGCTAAGTAAGTGTTCAATTGTCATTTCAATATGAAAGAAGTGTTATGTATGCGTCATTCCAAGCTTATTCTTACCAGGTTTTTGACAGCAACTCAACATAAAGAAATTACAAATGCCATATTATGCAGTTAAAGAAAAGTAGAGACAGGATGAGATACTGGTAGCTCTAGAGAGATGGAGAGAGAGAGAGTGTGATTGAAAGAGAATCTTGTCCTTGGATTTGTGAAACTATAGTATAAAACACAAATGTAGATTTAGGCATATTCATCATCATTTATCTAATCTGGTTCATCTCTCTTCTCGGACTCCCCAACAGAGCCTCCAGACAAACCCAAAAGCCGACAAAAAGGCTCACAAAAAAGGCCAACGAAACCCTCACTGAAGTCGCCGAGGAGGTCCTCAAAGCA